CTTCATTTAAAAAAAAATAATAATAATATCGTGTTTCCAGTATGTCCTTCCTATCACTTTTGATTAATGAAGAGTTCATTAACACAATCAGTAATGATCATATATAAATAAGAGTAGTAAACTAAATATGTCAGACTTACATAAAACATTAATTCAATTTGATAATGTGGTTTTATATGGTTTTTACTTGATTTTAGTGACCACCTATTTGTTTTCTTATTATTATTATTATTATTTTTGGTAAATAAATTATGTATAAAAAAGAAAACAATGTACCGAAACAAATAGCTTAAAATTATTCAATGATTGTGTTTTTTGTTTTGTTAATAACTTGCTGATAGAAAATTTTCTAAAATAAGAGGGGAAGTAGCTATGTGGCAAAAACTACTGCCTATAAAAAATTGCATCTTTGAATATTCCTAGTAAAAGTTTCAATATTTTATGATATATGAGATAATGTATGTAAGGGATAATTAATTAATAGATAAATGTTACAAGTGAAACTTGTCCCACATCGAATTTGAATGGGGATTGAAGAGTGTATAAATGGGTAGATATGCAGCACTACCCAATAATTCGAGCTTTTGGGTAAATGGGTAAGCGCCCACCCGTTATAGTTGGTATCAGAGTCAGACCCAATCCTTAATCCGGTATCACGCCAAGTGCCCAACCCGGAAGGCGTCCGGGTCTACATCCGGATAAGTAGGGTGATCCGACCGCAATGAGAGCGTTGTGTGGGTTCGGGAGAATGTTACCCCACCCATTACAATAAACCACTATTTTAGTTGACTAAAAAACCTTTTAAGGGACCTTTGGAAAATGGTTCATTAGTGAAATTAGTTCTATTCTTTTAGTCAATCACACACACCCACATATATATTCGTATATATGGAAGGAATCAAAAGACCATTGTCTGATGATATGCTCATTTCAAATTCTGAGATGGCAAACCCTTCCAACTATTTTAATTTTGGCGATCTTAATGATCATTTTGATCATGAAGAATCTCTGCTCGATAATTTCATGTAAGAGATGCCGAGTGAAGTGTCCTTCCGGCGCCCCAAGCCGGAAAGGCAGTTGTGGGTATTTTGGAGTGAGCCGACTCTCTGTCTCCCTCCCGGTAATTTGCGGATTCCATCTCTCTCTCATCTCCATTTTTTTTATAAAAATAAAATAAAAATCATTTCGTTCTCCATGCTTAATTATATACTATATATATCTTACATCTTTTACTTTTTATTAGATTTTTTTTTTTTTAATTGGCATTTGGCTTGTTTTAATAGCAGCTTACAATTGATCCCGGAGAATATATATATATATATATATATCAAAGTATAGCTAACTGGAAGACCACTTTGTATAAGGTTGTTCCAAATTTTTGTTGGTATTAATTTGACATGGAAATTATCAACAAGTGTATGCAGGTGGTATTACAGATTCGGTAACTCACGCCGATACCACCAATCTAGAGATTAGTGAAAAGATCAAAATTGTGCTTCTACGCTTGCATTTTTTGATTGCGAGGCCTGTTCTAATTCAGTTTTGGGCACCCATCACAATAGAAACAGAAACAGGGGTCGGGTGTTTCCTGGTAACTTCAAACCAACCTTTTGCTCTTACTGATCTTAATGAAGCACTTCTCAAATATAGAAAACACTGTCTACAATATAAATTTAATGTGAATGAGGAAGAACACCTTGGAGTTCCTGGCCGTGTCTTCCGGCGAAAACGGCACGAGTCTACTCCAAATGTGCGATATTACTCTAACACAGAGTATCCGCAGCGCGATTTTGCTCTAAGTTGTGATATTTCGGGTTCTTTTGCCGTCCCGGTATTGGAAGCCTCTTCCATGGAATGTGTTGGAGTAATTGAGTTCGTAATAGCTGACTTAAATCACCCAAGTACTGCTTTAACCGATACCTATATCTTTGGTTTTTCACAACTGCTCAAGGTTTGTTGGATCTCCTAAATCATATATTTGTATTAATATTCTTCTATTCTGAAAAACTGTGATATGAATACATCATATCCGAATCATCTTCATTAGAGATTATATGCTTTTTTTTTCCTTTTCGTTAATTTAAACCTTTCAAAACTACTAGTTCGGCTTACAAAAGGGGCAGGGGGTTGCTGGGAAGGCGTATTTGTTGCGTAAACCATGCTTTTGCAGAGATATAACTCAATTCAGTCAAATTGAATACCCCTTGCTACCCGGTGCACGCTTTTTTGGGTTAACCGGTTGTTTCTCAATTTACATGAAGAGTGAGGGTGACCATTTCACCATAGAAGGTGAGTACATACTAGAGTTTTTTCTGCCTCCTGAAAATGAATATGGTGCAGATCCACTTCCCTTCTTGTACTCGCTGTTAGAAACAGTGAAGCATCATTTCCCAAGCTTTGAGCATGTTGTGGGAGAAGAAGGGAAGCAATTATGCATTGAAGTTATTAAACCTCGCATGAATCAGGAACCTGCTGGTTCTTTTCAATGCCAAACCACCACATACCCGTCTACTCCCAGAGTCCTACAAAATGGACAAGAGACGATGCAGCCACATTCATCAAATCAGCAACTAATAGTTGGTGATACAAACAATAGTGGAATGAATGTTGTTAATGCAGAGCAGAATTGCATTCTTGTATCTAGTTCAGATGACGAAAATTCAATTGAACTTGGAGATGTTGCAGAGGAATATGATGGTAAGCTTACACACTTATTGAAATTGTTGCTTGTAATCTTGCTCTTGTTATTTTGAACATTTGTTTCTTCTTGAAGAACTAGTAGATTATTCTTTTTCATTTACATACTAAATGAGTTTTTATTATTGAATTCTTATTTTTGCAGTGGTCGGACCTAAGTTAAAGCTTGTTTCGGGAGAAGAACTAGGGAAGCAATTATCTGTTGAAGTTATTAAACCTCACATAAATCAGGAACCTGGTTCTTTTCAATGCCAAACTACTACATCCCCGTCTAGTCCCAGAGTACAAAATGGACAAGAGACAAGGCAGCCACATTCATCAAATCAGCAACTAATAGTTGATGATATAAACAATGAACCGAATGTCGTTAACGCAAAGCAAAATAGCATTCCTGTATCTTGTTCAAAGGATGAAAATTCAATCACTCGTGAGGAACTTGAAAGTCGTTTCGGAAGGAAACTTGAAGATGTTGCAGAGGAATATGATAGTAAGCTTACAAACTTATTGAAATTGTTGCTTGTAATCTTGCTCTTATTATTTTCAACATCTATTTGTTCTGTAGAACTAGTAGATTATATTCTTTTGCATTTACATACTAAAGGAGTTTTTATTATTGAATTCTTATTTTTGCAGTGGGCAGGTCTAAGTTTAAGCGTTTATGTAGAGAGAAATGAATCTCCCGCTGGAAATCGGGCAAGAGAAATAAGATCAATGGATCTCCCTCTAGACGAGGCCCTCCACGTTCTGAATTGCATGCTGCTGCTTCTCAAATGGCTCCACCCGCGCCAGTAGTAAGGAACAAAACCATAAAAGCAAAGTATGGAGGTGATACAATAAAATTTGAACTACCTTTTTCATCAAGAATGGAGGAGTTGAAGGAGGAAGTGTCCAAGATATTTGAGTTAAATGATGAAGCTTACAAGATCAAATATACCGATGATGAGGGCGATCAGATTTGGCTAGCCTGTGACAAGCACTTGCAGGATTGTATGAGTGCGGGCAAGAATGCAATCAAAATGTTAATCGAACCAATTACCAGGATATCACCTTCAACCTGACCAATTTATTATCCATCTATGTTTAAGTACTCGACTTTCTCTTCAATTTGTATGTTTAATTTTTATCCTTTTTTGCAATATATCTGAGCACTCTCTTTTTCCTCAATACTAAATTATTATTTTTATTTAATGAGGTAATTAGGTACTAGACTTGTATCCTGTGGTCATCTGCTGATGAATTTGATCAAACTAACATGTTATTTTGTGAAACAAGTAAATAAATACACTTTTTAACACCTGAGATCTTTCGAATTACAAATTGATCAAGTCAAAACGTGATAATCCAAAATTCACCGGAAACAATTTAACAATGCTTATTTTAATAACATATTTTATCATTAATTTGATCTTATTCGAATTTTAAGATATGAATAGGGGTCTCAGTCGTAACTAGGGTGATTTTTGCAGTCATTTTAACTGCATTGCCTTGTGATTAGGCCCACATATGTGAGTTGGGTATTTAAGGCCCACTACTAAAGCATATTTAGTCATTTTAACTCAAAATTGTTGATCATTCACTCCGGCCTTTTCTGTTCAAGGGCCTACGGGTTATTTTTAATAAGAATATTAACTCCTACTAACTAATAATTGTTTTCAATCATTCCTAAATCTCTCAAATTTTCAATTTTACCCCTCATAAATTTTTTTTTTAGTTTATTATTAGTTTTGAATTAAAATTTAGATTTATTATTTTTATACATTTTTTAAATTGATTGAAATAATGACTTTGTAAAATTTAGCCGCAACAAATTAAAGTACCATGAAAACAATCACTATAGTTTTATTTTTGTTAATTGAAAAAGATAATTTTAAAAAATTTATAGAAAAGAATAAAATGTAAAAATAAATTCCAATTGTAAAATATAATATATCAAACATGTGTATACAGCTAAAAAATAATAAGTAATTGTGTCTTATAAATATATATTTTTTCAAAATTTTAGTTCAACTTTGCGATAGTGTATAAATAGCCATGGAGAGATTAAAACTAAGTAGGAAATACTTGAAAGGTAAGATTTAATAGTCCTATTGAAATTTTATAGGATTTATTGATTTTTTAAATTAAAAAACCAAACTCCTATCATTTATTACAATAATATAATTATAAAAAATATTGCGAATTGCCAATAAGTGCAAGAAGGTTGGAAATTGCATAAGACTTGATAGGAAAACATATAAAATTGAACCTAAAATGATGGATGGGTATGATGAGTCATGCATGTCACTGAGCAATTTCTTGTTTAACCTTTCACTCCATTGATTGAACGTAAAAAGAAACATTTATTAAAGCAAAAAAGTTCGGTGCCATCTAATGGGTCCAAACTCATTGTCCGAATGGGCCAAGCACATGGATTCTCAATTATTTTGAGCCTACGACCATTTATTTATGGTTATGGACCTGACCGTTCATCTTTTCGGAGTCTCCATTTGCGCCCATGTCTACTAAGCCCATCTCCACTTTGCTTTGCCTTGCTGCCATTTGTTGCTTTGTTGATTTATAGTACGTGGCATATAGTATCAGCTGGGCCATCCCAAACAGTGTACCCAACCCATTAGGTGCCTGAAACACAAATTTACAGTTTATAAGGGCTGTAAAATATATATATATTATAGAGAGAGAGAGAGAATTACAGCAATAAAGGGGTCAAAACGGATGAGGGCATAAGATGTCCAGCAAATGCCGTTAGCAAAGGAAGCCAAGGAGAGAAAAAAGGGCATGTACTCCACACTTTTTGTCGTAATCACCAGCGTCTGCACCAAAAATAAATCTTTCTTCATTAATTCAACAAACTTCTGTACAATTTGTTATACCTTATCTTGTTTACAATTTACATATGTGTACTTATATCTATAATATTAATTATTTAATTTGTGTTATTTGAACCCATAATTTATGCCTAAAAGATAAGCCAAAAGGGTTATTTGATGTTTGATATGTTTTTTTTTTTATGAGACCACTGAAGTAGCAAGCAATGTTCTATACATAATACATGTGTAAAGTACTAATTAACTTGTGCAATTCTTCTTTTGAATTTTCTTTCCAAAAGAAAATTTGTGCATAAATATTGTAAAAGAAACAAATTGTAAACAAGAGAAGATCATGTGTATAACAACAATATGAGGGAAAGGCAACTTCCATGTTAGAGACTAACCATGACGGATAACGGTGAAGCATACATCATAACATTGCCCAACATGCAAAGGCTTCCGACGATGGTCGACCGGAGCTTGGTGGTGTGACCTATGGTCAGAACCACAAGTGCAAGAACGCCTAGGAATATGAACTCAGCAAGCATTATTAGCAGCACTTTGAGCTTCTTCTTCTTGTCAGAGTAGATGACAAAGAGTAGCAGATACAGTAGCTCGATGACGAACCCCGTACCGTTAATGGTTACCACCAGGATGCTATGTGGGTGCACCCATGGCAGTCCGTACAAGGTCCATAGCCCACAGTTCACCAGAGTCGCAAGGTATGGTGCTGGTGAGTACTGTTCCACCGACCCTTTCTTCCATATTCTGATAAAAGTTGGCCTGAAATAGAAAACATATCTTGAATATTAGCTTAATTTATTATACACAACAATTTCATAATCTTAGATGCATATATGGACCATCTCATTCCATATATATAAAGAAATATTTCACTGCCCCTATATATATGTATTTGAAGCTTACACTGGTGAAGTGAACAAGATTAGTGAAATGATGTTCCCTGAAAATAAACAAAGCAAAGCCATATAAGATTTGAATATATATATATATAACATTATAAACAATCAAAAATACAAATGAAGAATAGTTCTTTTTCTTTTTCTTTTTGTGAAAATATATAATCAAATACCTAGAATACCAACTACCATTCGAGCAGTGGCTTTATCAACCATGGTTGCAAAGTTGAAAGAGAAGGAAGAGAGTCAAAGGAAGAAGATCGATCAGTAGGCAGGTTTGAAGCAGATTGGAGAGAGAGTGAGGATAAGAATGTATTTATATATAGAGGAAGAGGGAAGAGGTTGGGTTTGTCCTGCTCCTATCACACAAGCACAATTTTTATTTAATTAAGTGGGTGTGTGATATGTATTAGTTGGTTACATATGGAAGAACACATGGAAAATAGTGAGTAAATGAAGAGAGAGAGAGGGTTTTGGACCAAATGGCACTTTCTTCAAAGTTCTTAAACCCAAGGGTAGGACACAATTCTCAGATGGTGACTCCTGTCCCTGCATATGTATTTTATGAGGAAACAGCCAATTCACAGTCATCTTCATTTTCACGGAATTTAATTCCCATGCAATTTCAACCTTATCCCATACAAGGAATGGATATATGCAAGCAGAACAGTACTTCTTAAAAGATGTTCTGTTTGAGAATTCATGACTTACAATTTGTAAGTTACGATTTTCAAGTATGATATTCTTTTTAGAATTGAAGTAGTAATTATTAGGATACCCTAATTTGATAACTAGGGTACCTTAGTAGAAAAACCACTATATGCGCGCGTCAGTAATCTAAAGAAAAATGCATTGAAAGTGGTTATTGTAGAGGGCAGCCTTTGGGATTTGCCATGTTGGGCTGCCCCAGTTTGCAGTATTAGTAGTTTTGTGTCTTCCCCAAAAAGGTTATAAAAACCACAAAATTAATTAGGTCTGAAATGACATGGTGCATTAATTGTTTGTACCAGATAATACCAGATATGATCCTTTGCAATACGGTAATTGCGATATAATGTGTTTGAGGGTTTACGATTTTCATACATGTGCTGTGTTGCTCGTGATTCAAATATTACAGTCTAAATTTTACTATTGCCAATTTGCCACCTATCAGTGTTCTATATATTGTTATGTATTTGTATTGAATGGTTATCCACTGATCTGAGCAGTCCATTCCACACAATCAAGATCATAGTGGTTGTTGGAGTGGTTGGTTGATCATGATTAGGATGTGAGGTTCACATGCATTTAGTGTTGCATGGTGATTGGTGACTTGACTTTTGACATAGGGAATTAATTGAAATGCACCAAACAGAAAATATTCATAGATTGCATAGAAACTGTGTGTAAAATGGTTTCAGTACAATGTATATGAACTGCATATATATATATGTGTGTGTGTGTGTGTTCCATTATTGTTAATTACACTATTAATGTAGCTACAGTTAGACTGTTTTTATCAAATCTCACAATAAACTCACGTCGTCCAATAAATCAGGAGCTAAGATTAATAAATTAATCAATACATCAATGCATGACTAAGTATATTAATTTGCTCGCCTAGATACATAAAATATATTCTACTTTAATGAAGTCAGATTCCCACTCTTGTATTTGAAAAAATGTACATCATTTGTTTATTTCTTAAACTATATAAATGACAAAAATGTCTCTCATAGACTAAAATGGAATACCTATTCTCTTATTTGTGAAATTGAAAACAATAATGCCATTTGCAGAAGAAAAAAAAAAATTAAAGTTGAAGATACAGTAAAGACATGATATCACGGAATGCATCTATTTTAGTGCGTTATATCAGAGGGTGTTATATATAGATATATAGTACCTCCCACTCTTTACGATAATGCTCATCTACATGTATTTAATACATGTGATACGATGATGTAACTGATTCCAATTAAGAGGATCAGAAGCCAGCAACAATCTGGTGTTGAAGATAATGTTTGAGTTAATATTTAAAGTGACGGTCAACTTAGGACAGGTCAGGTCCTTCAAGGTCAAACGATCCTCATCTGTTGACTTGTATGCTTTATCTCCTACCTTAAATGATTTTTCAGAATGTGGAATATATAGGAATATTGGCATTTGAAAACCACTTTTAATCTTAATTTAAAATGGTATAGATAAAGATGAAATGCAGAACGCATTAATTGGTGGTGTTCAACTAATTTCAGAAAGTTAATTTTTAATAAATATTTAATGCGATTTTGCACATTTTTATAAACTAGGGTCTTTTAGAAAAATTAAAAATTAACTCAAAATATTGGGGCTTGTTTGGTTTGTAATTATGAAAATTTTCGAAAAACTCAAAATAAAAAATTGTACAAAAATATTCAAGTTTTTAAAAATTATTTCTTGAAAACTCAGTTATAAAAATGTATATAGTATTATTAATTTATATATATAACTATTGGTACAAAATAGTCTTTTATAATTCTTCTGTTTTTTAAATTTTTGAAAAGCATATCTCTTCTTTTTCAAGATTTTCATGACTTCATCTCTTGAAAATTATTGCATTTTGTCACGATATAGTATTATTAATTTATTTAGTAGAAATTCATCCTCCAAACTTTTACGTATTTATTAATAGGGTTTAACTTAGACGGCATAAACTCTCATCCCCACAAAAGGAGATTGATTATTCGAGTATTAGGATGGTAGTAAAATAAGCAAAATATACGGTGAGTGCACATTTATCTAAACTTCGAGAAGAAAAAATATATATTTTATTTGGGTACTGAGGCACAAAAAACATGCATTAGAACTCGGGGAACAGACAAAACATGACCATTGGGTGAGTTGAATTGGAGAGCAAAGTGATAAGAAGATGGTAAAATAGTGTGGGAGCCTTAGCCGAAAGGCAATCACATAGTACAAGCATATACTCATGTCTTTATAGGTGCGTTGTTCCACGATGAATCCAATTCTGACACACACTCTCAGTACTCTTCATCTAAACTCGATTGCAATGGACTTTAGAGTAGAACAAAATGGTTACTGAACTAGAATATTTCTAGAGATGGCATGAAAGGAGTTTCACCTTCTTAATTTCTTTGTTGCTTTTGGCATGGTCTCAAATCTGATTAGGATTGACATGAGTGCAACAGAGAAGTTTCATCGTTCAAACTCAAACAAAAAAGTCGAAATATTGGGCAACCTTCCATTCACAGACATTCTAAGTTAAACGACTCAAAACCAACATGCATATGGCTAGTCAATTGTCATATCATTGCAGTACGTTCCATCCAAACAATGCATATGGCTAGTCAATAGTCATATCATTGCACTTCCATCCAAAAATTCAGACCATGACCACCACCGGCCACCACTATCACGACTACCATTTTGATCCTCTCTCTCTTTTTCTCTCTAAAGATGATGGATAGGTACATGAACATCATACATTGCACTAGTTCCTTTAATTTGAGCTTTCATTTATGATGCATGCATCTTATTCGATCTCTTCTGTGAATTATATCAGTACATGTACTAAAAATGTGTTACTTCCCTCTTTTAAATTTGATAAGATAATGAAAGAGAGAGAATGGTTTGATAGCTAGAAGGGATTATCTAGGAAACGCAGGATTTGTGCAATTTTTTTCACCAGAGCCAAGTTAGCAATTTGGGTAATTTTACTTCTCTTATGCATAATAATAGTTTAAGATTTTTTTTACTGTCGGGTTAACGCCCACTCATTATAGTTGGTACAATAACAAGATCTAATTCTTGATTCGGTGTCACAACAAACGTCTCGCACAAGATGCCCGAGTTGTCACCTTGGGTAAGTAGGGTGAATGGACTGCTCGATATAATTTGAGAATGTAAAAATTGTCTTTTAATATCTATTATATCGTCAATCAAATTAATCTTTTTTTGTGATATAATTGATCTTAGAGTTAAATAGAAAAAGGAAAAATTGTAGGGAAAAAATATATATATAGGAGGATAAAAGTCAAAAGAAGAATATAGAAAGATTCACAAATTCGGGAGAGAAAAAAAAGTTGAATGGGTGGAGAGACAAAAAAAAAAAAAAAAATGGAGAGGATCCTTTTCGATCCACTATTAAATTTCTATTGGGAAGGGTCTAATAATAGATAGAAATAAAAATTTAGGGAGGTTATATAATATAAAGAAATAAAAAAAAATTGGGGCCTTTTTAATGAGTGCAGTCTAATAATAGGAAGGAAATAAAAATTTTTGGAATGTTACAATATAAATAAATAAATAAATTTGAAAGTTAGTATAATATAAGGAAATAACAAAATTTGGAGCCTTTTTATTGGCTATAATCTAATAATAAAAAATAAAAAAAAAAATTACGAATGTTACAATAAAAAAAAAAAAAAATTGAGGTCTTCCTATTGGCTGGGTCGCCTAAGGATCCGGCACTAGCAGAGTTCGACTGCAATGAAGACATTGCAAATTCAGGTAAAAGAGAATGTTAAAGGTATCTCAAATCAGATATGAATGAAAAATGAAATGAATATAAATAGGTTAGCGTATGATACAATAGGGCACTTTGGGTATTAATCATCAATTAGCGTTTGCAGTTTTGCTTTGCTTGTTCAATGTCTTTGCCAAGTATACAATGCCACGAAAGTGTTTTAGGTCAGTTATGTTACGTATGAGGGTGGTGGCAAAGCAGTAAGATTTTTGAGTTCTTTGCTTCTTGTAAATTTGTAACGGTGAGATCAATTTAATATCCGAAAGAAAGAAGAAAAAATAAATCAGATCAGTTTTCCTATTTGCAAATTTGTAAAGGCAGTGGAGAAAACCAATTGCAAGGGGAAATTCCGTATCAAGAAGTTCTAATTCAGAGCTTAGATTAGGAGTTGATGTACTCTAAATTGCGTCAATAGCTAAAAATCCTCAACAAACACTTCATTTTTCAAGTTCAATGTACATCATAAACCAAAATATTTGCCAATTACCCTTCATTTGTTTGGATGCAAAATATTTTTTTATTTTTTAATGTTTAGTTGTCATAAAATATTTATGAAGAAAAATAAAACATTAAAACTTAACAAAAATAATTTACTCAACAATTTTCAACATTGTAAAGTTTTCTCAATGACTGAAAAAATATCGGGAGAGAGCGGGTTAGAGAGAGAAATATCTAAAGAGAGAAATTCAAACTCCGCTCAGATCCTCCAACCTTTCTTCAAAATTTGATCAAGTAATCTATCATCGATCTGTTGTTGTCTATTCCTCTCCACGTAGAGGATCTCTGTATTCATCAGAGTTTGGAATTCTTTTCAAAAGGGTGTTTTAGGGGATGGTTGCCATCTACAATCCCGGAAGAAGCTCCTATTATTTGTCTAAATGGATGGGTTTTTGTGTGATTTTGCTCATCCCATGGGCAATTTGGAACGGTGGCACAGTTGATGTCTTTTGTTTTCCGTTTGGTCCAGTTATTTCTACCGTTTTTCTTGATTCTTTTTTAGATCTAATGTTCTACGTATGCCGTTGTGCTGTTTGTATTCTCGGTCTGTTTTCCAATTTTGCTATCCATACGAAAGTCTACCCTTTCTTAGTCTCCTTGTATCTCGGACAAGCGGACTGAGCATGCTCGCCGGATTCGGTTCACGTGAACACAAATGCTTCGGGATACTGTATACGTTACATGACTGGCGTATTGTATACCAAGGTGCAAATGTTAACCCACTGACTAATTGGGTTGACTCTATTAAGCCCACTTCTCTAGTGGGTTATGTTCCTTATTGAGTGGGTTATGTTCCTTATTGAACCCTTATGTGTGAGGATACACTAGGGGACCATCTAGTGGAGTTGAATTTATGTAAGGGGTATTGGACTACTCTCGAAGCTAAATTCTAATGTGCTCAGATTGCTGGCAGATTTTCGCAGCTTGCAATGACTCAAGTTTAGCAACCGCCTTGGCTGAGTATGGTGAATGGTCAAGTGGATATTGGTGGTCTAGTGCAAAACTTGGCTCGAGGAGAAGGGGATGTATTTGGAGCTCCTGATAGCATCACTCTTGCTGTAATATCTTGGCTCCATCTTGTTTTGTTTCTAATTATTTGCTGTCGAGCAAGTTCTGTTGGCCAGGCTAATATCAAAGCCTCAGGGATTGACCTCATGTATGCTCTAATTGTTGAATATTTGTATGTTAATATCCTTGCAATAACAAAGGAAGATTTATGTAATCTTGTTATGTAGGGGTGTTTTGGTTGCAAAAACACATGAAGATAAATAAAAATATATAAAAAAATTTATTTTGCCTGAAAAATATAAATATTCTATGTCAAAACAAACAAAACCTTAGAAAAAATAAAAAATAAAATAAAACTAAACAAATTTGTCATTATATCTTTCAAGTAGGCATTCTTCTTACTTTTGAGAAGAAAGACGAGAAAGCAAAATATTTCCTTAATTATGATGAGAAAGCAAAGGAAAAGAAAAATGACATCACAATAGAAGGAAGCATCTAACAGAAGGTTGGAGGGATGGTTAAGAGTGACTTTGACTTTGACTTTGATGGTATCAGAAATATGTTGAAAATTTTAGTGAAAGACACAATACACGTTGAAGAACAACCGCATATATATAAATTTGATCACACGACTCGAGATACAATTTACTTTTCATTTAACATCTTCAAGATCACAAATAGATATCCAATCAAAAAAAAAATTTACCAGAGAAAAAACCAGTGGAGAAAGAAACAGGAAGCCTCACCAAGTCATAAATCAAACCCCATACACGATCTTCTATGTTACAGCATATGCACGTGTGAAAAGCAAGGAGAAAATGCAGAAATGCGCCGTCAATTTCTAAAACCAAAGGGCGACCACTTCTTTGATGCCTCTTTCTTTGTCCTCTTAGAGTTGGGGTCGATAAGGTTCTCTAATGATTTTGCTTTTTTGTTTCGTGACCTGCCCGCTTCTTTCAGGAGCTCAACCAGCCTTTTCTTTTCATCATCAAAATCAGGATTGGCTGTTCCAAGCTTTTCTTCTCTCAGTTTTAGTACATACTCCAAAATCTCAATTGCATCTTCCACTCTGTTAACATTTACAGAAAGCATTTAGCAAAGCTGGTTTAAAAACCAGAGGACTATTTTCTTTCATACTGTGGTTACTATTTTCTGAGAGCAGATACCAAAACATTGTCTTCAAAAGCATAAAAATAAATAAATAAATAAGCATTTCCAAAATACTACCCGAATGACACCTTTGGTTCTTTGCTTTAGGTAACAGAAGAGTAAAAGAAGCACAAAGAAAGTTGAAATTGCAGTCTTATGCTTTAGTTCTACTTAATTGCAATCAGAATTCAGAAAGTCTGCAATGTTTAAATGCAGAGGTGATAACATCACATTACAGATCATGCTGCTGCCACGATGTCAAAATGTAGCGGCACTTGATAATTCATATCAGCCACTTTTGGCAATATGAAACTTTGTGTGGCACAGTCCTTACCATGAAGTAATCACATTATAACGGTGGCCCCAGTTGCAGATTTTCTAATGGTCGAAGAGAGGAACCTAAGAGACTAGGGCAATATCAACTACAACTTCAAATGTAAAAAAACAATATACAATATCCAATCAGTAAAAGCTCAAGTAAAAATCCAAGTAAAGTAGTTTGAAATGAGATAATACCTTCCCATAGCATCATAAGTCGCTGCAAGGTTGCTATACACTCCAAGAGTATCTTGATGACATGGACCGCACTCCTGTTCCAGTATTTCTCTTGCTTCCTCAAACAACTCGGCAGCCTCATCTATTTTGAACAACTGTACACAAGCCAAACCCATCTGGTTCAAGACAACCCCAAAGAACGCTGATTTCCTCTCTCCGCTGGCTCTCAGTTTTGCTACAGAACTCTTGAAAGAGCTGTAGGCATCTTCATACCTTCCAACCATGTAAAACATAACACCCATTCGAGCCTCTATTCCTGCAATTGTACTTTGCTGCCCTGGTTTATCCTCCAGCAATTTCATTGCCTTCTGCAAGAGCTTCAGTGCCTCCTCAGGTTCGTTGAAAGATTCGTAAATGGCTGAAATCTCTGTCATCCCACTTGCAATCTCTTCTGCAGTCGTTCCAGGCACAGGTTTTGCATATATTCTGAGGGCATTTTCACAATATGATCTGGACTCTCGCAACTTTCCTGTCTTGTAGTATAGATCAGCTAGGCGTACAAACACAGAAGCAACTGAAGGGTGGTTGTCACCCTTTGACGATTTGAAGACAGTGAGTGCCTTCTGGTAGGAGAAGACGGCCTCATCAAAACGAGATAGGGACAAGTAGATGTTGCCAATGCTGACATCAATAGCAGCAACCTCATTGTCTTGTCCATTGGCAATCATTGCCATGCTGGCAAGCACAAGGTGTTCAAGAGCTGATTCATAGTCTCCTTTAGCCTCGCATATGAGGGCCATCAACCGCCGGTCAGCTGCTTCTTCAAGAGATGCCGGTGAACTGTGCACACGGTGGATTTCAAGGGTTCTCTTGGACAAATTTTCAGCCTCGTCAAATTGCATTGCCTGAACATGGGCCTCAGCTAAGTACCTGCCATTGCAATGCGGTTGCCTAGAATTAATTTTGTTCAAGAAAATATAGAGCGCCAATTTTTAAAAAACATTATGATCCCCCATGTAAATATGATGAAGTAGTAGTTATTTAGACAACAAAACAATTTGAAATTGAATGAATCGAAATTTTAATTGTTACATAGAAACATACTTATGACTCCAAACATCTCTTTACATTGCAAGTCACAAGTTAAGCTGAAGACTAAAAGGTATATCAAGTGGACAATCAACAGAAAATCCTTCAAATAAACACACATATAAGATGAAAAATAAAAATCAATATATCTTTACTTCTGTACCTAATTCCTGCAATAACTTCTTTATATTTTACAATACAGCAGGTGGTGGAACTATGGGAATCACAATTATATCTAGAGCTCATCACTGTGTACCAATTTCATTCATCTTTCATATGAAAGCACTTATGAAAGCTGTATTGTACAGGTAACTCAACTTTTCTAGAGCACCATTACTGTTAGGCAATTTCCCTCATCTTTCATTTGAAAGCACTTATGAAAGATACAATTCTACTGGTAGCTCAATTTTTCTTGTTCCAATCTCCAGCCTGTTAGGTTTGTAGAACTAGGTTGGTAAATTTCGTAGAACAAAACTCATGCAATGTAATTTTAAAATATGTTCCGCACATGTGAGCTGTTTAGAATGATGGTTAGATGATTAGCTAGTGTTGCATGAAGTGAAGCAACTATAACGGTCAAATTCGTCAACTTCATGAAAACAAAGGATAAAAAGGTAAAATCACTCCAATAATCATCTTCACCATATTATGACCATGCATACATGTTTATTTGATCAAGTTTCAAAGTTCTATAAACTTACTTGAGCATTAATACACGTTTTTCAAAATATGTATACAACAACAACAACAACAATGTGGACTAACTCATCTAGGAAAAAAATTGTGGACCAACTCTACCCACATTAACTTTGGTCTTCCTCTTCCCCTACTATTATTACCCTCAATGTGGACTATACCACATTTCCTAACCAGCACGCTTAAAGGTCTTCTTTGCACATGTCCAAGCCATCTTAACTGATTTTCTCTCATTTATCTCCAATTGGTGCTACTCCAACCCATCTCCCAAATGTGATCATTTCTAATTCATCTTTTCTAGTCTTACCACACATCTACCTCAACATTCGCATTTCTGCCGCACTCACTTAATGCAAAGATTGTCTCCTAACTACCCAACATTCGGTATCATAAAGTACGGCTGGTCTTAATAGTTGTTCTATAGAACACAATCGTAAGGGGATACACAATATACTAAATGCACCCCTCCATTTAACCAATCCTGCCTTGATTCTATTAACATCATCTCCAATTTATCCCTAATTATGAATAATTGAGTCTAAATAACAAAAATGTTCACTTTTTTGTAGCTCTTGATTCTCAATCCTCACTACATCCTCATTTGGATTTCTATATTTACTAAGGTTAGAGTTAGACTCCATACATTCAGTTTTATTTTGATTTATTAACCCTTTAGTTCTAAAGCTTCTCTCTAAACCTCCAATTTTACATTAACTCCTTCTCTAGTCTCATATACACCACGGAATCTCATCTTGGATGTGTCTGGTGAGCTCATCTATAACCAAGGCAAAAATCAGTTTGCAACATTAATAACTGATATTGCACTCATCGATCGATTGAGAATGTTTGTAGATCCATCGAAGCTTGCAAAGTGAACCGTCAATCTAAGTGTTATAATGTATCGATCAATCAAGACTTTGTTCAACGTGGATCAAGAATTGGTCCAGTGGAGTTCTATTGAAGCATAGAAGCACCCTGCATTATCGATCGGTCGATCCTTGCCCAGAATTCGATTGACAGACGCACAGCTGTATTTTCCAATTACACACACATAAATAGAGAAAAAAAAAAAAAAAAAAAAAAACATTACCAATATATAGCTTTTGTTTTTCATGAAATCATAGTTTTCAACTTTTCCTAAAGCTCATTGATTTATTTCTTTTTCCACAAGATCAAACATCATGTTCTTCGTATACATATTCATATGAATGCTTTCTTGTGAGTTTGGAGAAAAAGAAGAGTGCAGTTTTTATTTATTTTCCATCATACATCATATATGTTAGATATGGTGATGTGATGATCTTTGAGTATTGATACTATTGCGGTTATAGTACAAAGTCAACATCTACACCAACACCGTATAGAGCAATCAACCAGATTCTCGTTTGTACGACTAGTGACAAAAGATCAATCAGTGAAGAGGTAGTGTTCTAGCGTACTGAATATTGTAGATTGATCAGAAGGACAACTTGAAGATCTTTGAAGGACTGAAGATTTTGTGTCTTGCTATGTCAAAGGATCAACTAAGAATTCGAGGGTACGACAAAGGATCAACTAAGAGTTCGAGGGTACTGAACAGACTTATGTTGTACGTCTCTTCATAGGGGATTAGTTTGCCGGACTATGTCCCATGGTTTTTTAACTTACCAAAAGGACGTTTTTCCACATTAAATCTGGTGTGCAATTGCTTTATTAAATTGCTTATATTTTTAATGTACTTTAAATTGCTTATATTTTTATTTGTTTTATTGATGTCTGCTGGCATATCTTTATTTGTTTAACAAGCAATTTTTAGATTTTTAAATTGCCTATTCACTCCCCTCTAGGTCTGTTTGACATGAATGTGATCAGGACGATATCTGTACACAACAAGAATCAATTGTTATTGTATAGTCTCAATCGATTCCCCATCACCTCTATGGTATTCATCTTTCAGTTTGCAAACATTGTACCAATTTGACCCAGCCTGGTTGAGTTAATTTTGAATCAAGATGTTCTGAACCTGAGCCAAAATTTGCTAACTCTTAGTTGGGCTGGTCCAACTGCACTGAATTTTGTGGAGGCAAAAGTTGTCATCCTATGTCTTTATTGCATCTTTTGCAACATTTGAAGAAATTGGTTCCAAGGGGGTCAGTTTTAGGCATTATTCAAACATGACATTTCAAGATTTTACCAACATTTAAGAGAGAGCTGCCAATTTATAGATAAACTGATTCAAGATGATGAATTTCTAAATTCAAATGCCTTCAGAAAACAACAAGGAGCAATTAAATTGTCAGGTACATTGGAAAATGCTTAATTGTTCCAGCACAAATCTTTTTCTCATCAAATGTTATATCGTCAATAATGAATCAAATACACTCAACTCAACTCTACAAAACTTTTCGTCAATTACTTGGGTTAGCTAGTAATTAATCAATATAAGAAACCAAATTTGAAACAACCCAATAAATTCATGTAAAGTAAGAGTAGGATATTCCTCACCCAAGCTTTAATTTGATGAGTTTGATCCAATCCATTCTCATTCAAAATTGTAAAAATTCAACCTTTGTATCAAATTTCATGAATAGTTATAGTTGCACAGATCAACCCATTACAGTAAACAAAAACCACACAATTCAAGACTTAAATAAGTTCACCTGCAAGTCTCTGCAACTCTTGGATCTGTCTCACCTAGCACCTCCATCTGTATCTTCAACCCTTCCTTGTAACACTCAATCGACCGATCCAACTGTCCGAGCATCGAATGAGTGTCGCCGAGTTGCATATACCCCGAAAATGCAGCGAGAGCGTGATCAGCTCCCCCCGGCACATCCGGAACCTTAATTGCCCTATCCAGCACCGGAATCGCCTCCTCAAACCTCCCCAAACTACAGTAAATCGCTGCCACTACGTGCAAGCTCATCGCCAAGTCCAAGCTCGGCTCGCCGTCGACGGCGCACCGTTCAAACGACTTCGACGCCCGGAGCGCGTAGTCCAACGCCTTGCTGGGGCCATCACCGGCGGCGATTGTATCACGCGCGAGTTTGAGAAGGAACGGGCCGAGATCGGGGTTGTCGAGAGACGATTCGTCGATGACTGGCTTCTCCGGCGACTTCTTCTTGACGAAGCTCCGATCCGGAGACGGCTTGGCCCGTGATGTCGACGGGGAAGGCGAGGGAGGTCGCCTCGGGACCGGCGATGTGGTCTTGGGGTTTAACGCTTCGGATCGGGCGGAACTGGGTCGGATCTGTTGGGGAGTGTTGTCGTCGGGAACGGTGATTCGGAGCGGCGGAGTTTCCGGCGGTGTTTTGACTGAGACGAGACCTGGCATTGTGACTGTTGAAGGTGGAGAAGAAGATCAGATGTGACTGATCGATATGTATGTGGGTCACTGTAAATTGCTATATGTGTATATAAGATGAGAGAGAGTAAGAAAGACGCAATTGAAGATGAGAGATACAAGAAGGGATTAATTAGGGATTAAAACGTGCCACCATTTTCAACTGTTAATAATTGCATATCTAGTTGTTCCAGTTCGTCAGGTTGACGGGAGGTGGGACAATCTGATGGCAGGTTAGCTTCTTGATATTGGACAAGTGTTATGCAGTAATTGGCAAAACTACAAATTAAAATGTTTATTTTTATAATTTATACTTATTTGTGCTTTTTTATATTTTCCGCCAAATCCTAGTTTATCCCCCAAATAATAATAATAATAATACAAAACTTTATGTGCTCCGTCCAATTGTATTGTGGTTTATTTAAGATTGAAATTGTACTTATTTATTAAGAATGAGCCTGAGTTTAGATTTTAAATTACAAATTACTTAATTAAGGAATAAGTTTGAGTGATAATGACCAACAATGGTGGACTGGTTTTGGCTTTTATTTTTATACTTTCCTGACCAGAAGAACACCAAGTCACAAATCTATTTAAGCAAAAGTGGGGTAGGATGAAACCCAAATGAATTTTAACTTTCTTAATCAAAAATTTTCTTGACTAATAACATTGAAAATTTATAAACCCTCTACCTTTCTCATGCCATCATCATACCACACTTGACATCTTTTTTTGTCAAAACTTGAATGGACACTTTTACAAACTTAGGTGCATTAGCATTGTAAATAAGACTTGGAACCTAATTTATTAGAATCTTATGCAATGGTACGATATAATTATATCACAAAATGTGATATTAATATAATACTTTTTTAAAAAATTAAAATTTATATACTATATTTATATCATTCATGTAACATATTACATTGTATGTAACATAATAACACAATTAAATCAAAATTTTAACACACTTATATAATTATTTGTATTGTCAATTCTAAGTTATTGCATTCATAATGTAAAATTGTTGAACTATGCATATAATGCGGGACAAAAATGGCACATAGGATGTGGTTGGTAGACTTGAGTGTTGTGCAACACACCAAGGCATAGGTGATTTTGGAGCTTCATCAAAAACAAAGGCAGTTTTTGCAACTCGATCTCAAATTGGGAGAACTTAATCTTATGATCCAACAACAGATGGAAAGTAAATTCTGCCACCAACCTGCTTCGCAATATTTGCCTATCTTTAATGGTATATCGTACATGGGAAGAGAGAAATGAGCTAATCTTCAAAGGGAAGAAATTTCCCCAAAGGGCAGTGCCTACTCGTATTTGTAACACAATCACCTCAATTATAAAATTAGGGCTTCTTGTGATTGTGCGACTTCTAGGAGAATTCTGAAGGATTGGAACCTGTTTCCTTCTTCATGTTGTCCACCGCCGAGACCTCCAAACTAATATTCGCCAGGATTGTTCCGGCTAAAGTTCCTCTTCTCACCGGAATGGATCTTGCTGATTAACAGCCATTAACAGAATTTTATCCGTTAATTTCAGTTAATTCCTACTTTGTTGTGTTTGGGCTGAGCCCTTGCTGCCCTCTGGGCTTGTTATGTGTCCCTTTTGGGCTGATTGGCCTAAGGCCCACCTTTTGTAATTTTTCTCAATTTATTCAGTTGCTTAAAAAAAACAAACAAAAACAAAAAAGTTAAGATAATGAAATCGATCGATTCCATCCTAACGAATTGAAAATATTTAAATTCACTACCAACCCGTGAGAAAGAAAATCGAATCTACAAATTGAAATTCTCAAATGATAACCTTGGTTCAATAGATAATAATTCTCAGAAAAAAATATATATATAGATAATAATTCAATTTATCAATATTAATTCATATATTAAAATCATGATCAACTCATACACTTTAAAAGTCATTATCATTAAGTAATACATATATATATATATATATATATATATATATATATTAGGAAAAGACACGATGAACGTGATCAATGTTTTGTAACTTATTTTATTATTTGATAAATTATTTTATTAAATAATTATTTATTTTTCCTATTTTTCAGTTGTTTTAATAATGATTTTAACTCATTTTACTTTAATTCATTTTATATCAATTAAAAAATATTTTTTATATTAATAAATAAATACTTAAATACTAAAATAAAATAAAATAGCTAATTTGTGGTAGAGTTTTATAGAGTATTTTTTATATTAATTATTCTTGTCTAATTAGATTTTTTTTTATTAAAAAAGTTATAATTAAAGGTAATTTGTAGTAGAGTTTTAGAAAAATTATTTAATTTTTTATATCGATTAATAAATATTTTTATATTAATAATTCTTATCTAATTAGATTTTCTTTAAAAAATTCTTAATAATAAATAAATAAATAAATAGATTAGTTTGAATTTTATTAGGTAAATTTTAGAGTTTTATAAAGTTATATATATATATATATATATATATATATATAAACTTTTTTCATATCGATTAATAAATATATAAATAAATAAACACTGAAATTTTTTGCACCCATTTAATAATAATATAGATAAAAACTCTTTTTATATCGATTAATAAATATTTTTTTATATAAATAAATAAATACTGAAAACTCTTTTGCAGAACTTCTTGGATTAATAGGATGATGACATAATCATAACTGGGCCAGGTCAATTATATTGTAACAATTATCCAAACAAAATAACTATTATTTTCAAATCAATTAATAAATATTTTATTGTGACTGACTTTATTAGGTAATTTTTAGTGTTTTATAGAAACTATTTTTATAAAAATTGTTTTTATATCAATTACTAAATATTTTTTTATATAAATAAATAAATACTAAAACACTGAATGAGCCGGACTAGTTATATTGCGATAATTATCCATAAAAAATAACTATTCTTTTATATCAATTAATAAATATTTTATTGTGATTGATTTTATATTATTGTCTAATTGGATTTTATTTTATTTAAAAAACTCATAATAAATAAATTAATGTGATATAGTTTTATAGAGAATAAAAAAGCTAATTTGTGTTGAATTTATAAAAATTATTTTACTTTCTTTAAATATATTCTTGTCGAATTATATTTCCTTTTATTAAAAAAACTCATAATAAACAAATAAATAGGTCATACGTGTTAGAGTTTTATAGAAAATCTTTTAAAAACTCTTTTTAAATTAATTAATAAATATTTTTTATATTAATAATATTTGTTTAATTAGATTTCCATTTATTAAAAAACTCATAATAAAATATAATTTGCGATAGAGTTTTAGAAAAATTATTAATTTTTTATATTAATTAATAAATATTTTTTATATTAATAATTCTTATCTAATTATATTTCCTTTTATTAAAAACTCATAAAAAATAGATAAATAGGTAATTTGTGTTAGAGCTTTATAGAAACTCTTTTAAAATTTGTTTTTATATAAATTAAAAAATATTTTTTTATATTAATAATTCTTGTCTAATTATACTTTTTTCCTTAAAAGACTCATAATAAATAAATAAATAGGTAATTTGTATTAAAGTTTTATACAAACTCTTAAAATATATCATTGTCTAATGTGATAAAGTTTTATTGAAAATAAAATAGATAATTTGTGGTTGAGTTTTATATAAACTATTTTATTTTATTTAAATATACCATTGTCTAATTAGATTTTCTTCTATTAAAAAACTCATAATAATTGATAATTCGTGGTAGAGTTTTAGAAAAATTATTTTGTTTTTTATATCAAATAATAAATATTTTTTATATTAATAATTCTTATCTAATTGGATTTTCCTTTATTAAAAAACTCATATTAAATAGATAAATAGGTAATTTGTGTTAGAGTTTTATTGAAATTCTTTTAAAAATTCTTTTTATATCAATTAATAAATATTTTTTTATATTAATAATTTCTGTCTAATTACATTTTTTTTTCTTAAAAAACTCATAATAAATAGATAAATAGGTAATTTTTGTTAGAATTTTATAGAAATTCTTTAAATATATTATTGTATACTATGATAGAGTTTTATTGAAAATAAAATAGGTAATTTGTGGTAGAGTTTTAAAGAAATTATTTTATTTTCTTTAAATATATCCTTGTTTAATTAATTTTCTTTCATTAATAAACTCATAATAAATGGTAATTGAAATATTTTTTTATATTAATAATTATTGTCTAATTACATTTTTTTCCTTTCAAAACTCATAATAAATAGATAAATAGGTAATTTGTGTTAGAGTTTAGAGTTTTATTGAAATTCTTAAAATATATCTTTGTCTAATGTGATAGAATTTTATTGAAAGTAAAATAGGTAATTTGTAGTTGAGTTTTATATAAACTATTTTATTTTATTTAAATATATCTTTGTCTAATTAGATTTTATTCTATTAAAAAACTTATAATAATTGGTAATTTGTGGTAGAGTTTTAGAGAAATTATTTTGTTTTTATATAAAATAATAATTAAAATTTATATTAATAATTATTGTCTAATTAGATTTTTCTTTATTAAAAAACTCATAATAAATAAATAAAAAGGTAATTTGTATTAGAGTTTGATTGAAATTCTTTTAAAAACTCTTTTTATATCAATTAATAAATATTCTTTTATATTTGTGTTAGAATTTTATAGAAATTCTTTAAACATATTATTGTATAATGTGATAGAGTTTTATTAAAAATAAAGTAGGTAATTTGTAGTAGAGTTTTAAAGAAATTATTTTATTTTCTTTAAATATATTATTGTCTAATTAGATTTTCTTTTATTAATAAACTCATAATAAATGATAATTTAAATATTTTTTTATATTAATAATTCTTGTCTATTTACATTTTTTCCCTTAAAAAAGTCATAATAAATAGATAAATAGGTAATTTGTGTTAGAGTTTTTTATAAACTCTTAAAATATGTCCTTGTTTAATGTGAATGAGTTTTATTGAAAATAAAATAAGTAATTTGTAGTTGAGTTTTATATAAACTATTTTATTTTATTTAAATATACCTTTGTTTAATTAGATTTTCATCTATTAAAAAACTCATAATAATTGATAATTTGTGGTTGGATTTTAGAGAATTATTTTGTTTTTTATATCAAATAATAAATATTTTTTATATTAATAATTCTTGTCTAATTAGATTTTACTTTATTAAAAAAACTCCCAATAAATAGATAAATATGTAATTTGTAGTAGAGTTTGATTAAAACTCTTTTTATATCAATTAATAAATATTTTTTTTATATTTTTGTTAGAGTTTTATATAAATTTTTTAAATATATCATTATGCAATGGGATATAGTTTTATTAAAAATAAAATAGGTAATTTATGGTAGAATTTTAAAAAAATTATTTTATTTTCTTTAAATATATCCTTGTCTAATTAGATTTTCTTTTATTAATAAACTCATAATAAATGGTAATTTAAATATTTTTTTATATTAATAATTATTGTCTAATTGCATTTTTTTTCTTAAAATAGATAAATAGGTAATTTGTGTTATAGTTTAGTAAAAACTCTTAAAATATATCATTGTCTAACGTGATTGAGTTTATTGAAAATAAAATAGGTAATTTGTGGTTGAGTTTTATATAAACTATTTTATTTTATTTTATTTAAATATAAAACTTAGACTAATAAGAAGAAGAAAAAGACAATTGATTAGGTTTTTTTTTTTTGTATACATTAAATGTAGCAATATATGTAATAAAACAATGCATGATCAAAACATAAGATTAATAATAAAAAGAGAAGAGAAAGACAATTGATTAGGTTTTTTTTTATTTTTGTGTACATTAAATATAGCAATATATATAATAAAACAATGCATGATCAAAACATAATATTAATAATAAAACAATGCGTGAGCAAAAAATAAAACAATGCATGTACCTTGAAATTTGATGTGATTAGATGAAGGCAAAAAAAAGACTTGTACATATATAGAGAAAGAATATAGATTTAATAAATATCCAAAATGGACTCTTTTTCTCCCTCGCCTTGAATCCCTTCCTGTTGCAATCAAGTTAGGTTTTGAATTCTTTCCTGCTGGGACTGTTATTATAATTTATTATATTTTGCGGGCAATCGTGTTAGGTTTAGTAATAGTTGTATAATATAATTTTAATTTTAATTATTAGGTTTTGAATATAATTTGAATTTTAATTATTATATAATTTGAATTTTAGTATGATTTGAATTTTAATTAAACTCATTATTGATTATGGGATATAATAATTAAACTCTTTATTGTGAATTAAACTCTTAATACGCGGTCACCCTCATTGCAATCTCAAAAAAATAATAATAAATAAATAAATAAAAATTGAGAGATAGAGGAGTACTTACCAAGGGAAATTTTGGAAGAAAAACTTGGATTCTTTCTTATCAACAAAATTTATAATGCTATGATTACGACAAAAAAAGAAAATGCATAAATTATAATTATAAAACCACACTGGAACCGAGTAAAACAAAATAGTTTATTGTTTAATTGACATCCCAAAATAATACGGAGTATTAATTTAAAAAATAGTTAATTGTGTGAAGAATTTTAGAAATCCAAGACTTTTAAAATATTATAATTACAAGTTTAATAGTTGGAGAGTTTTAAAAAATCGTCAAGAACTTTAATAGTAAAGAATTCTAAAAATTGTTAAGAGTTTTAAAACAATTAAAAAATTTCAATAAAAAGATCCAAAACAACCAAGAATATATATAAAAAAATATGATAAACTCTAAATATGAATTTGATTATACGAATTAATTTTTTGATACAAATTAAGTGCAATCAATAATTAAAATCATCTCACAATTCTAAATTAATTTGATTAAGACATTATTTTCATTGTTATTTTTTATTTTTTTTGTACGTGGAAGTCATAATTTTAATAATAGGATATGTGATAAAAACTCTTTCTCAAAAAAATTTAGTATTACACTTTATCTCTTAGCCAAAAGGCCGAGAATATGTGATTATTAATTCTTTAGCTCTATAGTTTTATAAGTGGCTTTCATATAATTCTTTTTACTTAAAACCAATGTGGGACTTTGTAATTTGAATTAAACTCTTTTTATATTTTGTTAATTTTAATTAATTTAAATTTTATATTAGGTAATTTTTAGAATAATTACAAGTTTAATAGTTGGAGAATTTTAAAAAATCGTCAAGAACTTTAATAGTAAAAGAATTCAAAAAATTGTTAAGAGTTTTAAAACAACTAAATTTTTCAATAAAAAGATCCAAAACAACCAAAAATATAAAAAATAAAAATAAAAATAAAAAAAAAATAAAAAAAATGATAAACTCTAAATATTAATTTGATTATACGAATTAATTTTTTGATACAAATTAAGTGCAATCAATAATTAAAATCATGTCATAATTCTAAATTAATTTGATTAAGACATTATTTTCATTTTCATTGTTATTTTTTTATTTTTTGTACGTGCAAGTCATAATTTTAATAATAGGGTATGTGGTATAAACTCTTTCTCAAAATATAAATATGATGATACAAATTATTTTTCGGTAATGATCATACAAATTAAGTTTAATAATAATACGGGATAGAAACTATTTCTAAAAATAGTGCATGATAGAAACTCTTATGTGGTAGAAACTCTTTCTCAAAATAAGATAAACCTAAAATATAAATATAACGAAACAAATTATTTGTTGGTAATGATCATACAAATTAAGTGCAATCAATAATTAAAATCATAATTCCAAATTAATTTGATCAAGTCACTATTTTAATTGTTATACATTTTCTGCTTTAATTAAGTTAATATATTGAAATTCAATTATTGATATATTTTGATGTAGAATTATTGTTATGTATTTATTGAAATAAATTATATATTTCATTCTCTATTTAGATTTACTTTTATTGAATTTCAGTATTTCTTTCTTTATATTTTGTTAATTTGAATTAATTTGAATTTGAATTTTATTAGGTAATTTTGAGTTTTATATAATTTATATTAATTAATAAATAAATACTGAAACTCATTGCACAAAGGCCGAGAAAGTAGTACTGCACTTGATCTTAGCCAAAAGACCAAGAAAGGTTAGCCAAAAGGCCGACCCAAAAAAATTTAGTACTACACTTAATCTTAGCTAAAAGGCCGAGAAGGTGTGATTATTATTTATTTAGCTCTATAGTTTTATAAGAGACTTTCATGTAATCATTTTTATTTAAAACCAATGTGGGACGTTGTAATTTGAATTAAACTTTTTTATATTTTGTTAATCTGAATTAATTTTAATTTTATATTAGGTAATTTTGAATTTTATAAAATTTATATCAATTAATAAATAAATACTGAAATATTGAAATACTGAAACACTCTCAATATAATGTTCTTATGAACTAAGCAAACAATAATTGGAGGTGGGTGACCTATTACCGGGCAGGTGCGAAATTTTTAAGGATCAATTCACGTTTCTGTGCGTCTCTGATCAAGTGTTTAGCCTGTGACATTGAAGTCAAATTTGAATAACAGAATAAACAATTTTATGCAAATGCTGTTAAAAGGTTTAATAAGAATCCGAGTTGCCTTTTTAGAACTCTTTCACTACATTGATATTAATTCCTCTCATTTTGGATTTTTGACCAGACTTTGAAAGTGCAAGTTATTTAGGGGGTGTATTCTTAAAATTTGGAGAATGCCCACTAAATACTAAAAGTTGTTCGGGTGGGAGTCTGAATCCCACATATTTCAATTTTTTACATTCTCATGATTCAGGGTGTATTATATTTAGAATCGGAACATGCAAGACATTCAATCTAGTTCCCAGTGCATTCATTGAAATTCAATTTAAACTTTAGAATGATTTGCAATAAATTTTTACAAATATATATATATAATTCCTTAGATAGCAATAAATGGACATTAGCATATAATTAAACTAATGCATCATTAAAAACCATCACAGTAACCCAAACACAGTTCAGAAAACCATATTTGAACCAAACAACGCACAAACTGCTCCCTAACACACGTCGAATCACAGAGCCTGCTCTTAGAAACCTAGAACAGGCTTTAAACTACCTAGAGCCGGCTCTCCTTGTATTTGTTAATTTGAATTTGAATTTTATTAGGTAAGTTTGAGTTTTATAGGATTTATATCAATTAATAAATAAATATTTTTTATATTAATAATTTTTGTCTAATTAGATTTATTTTATTAAAAAAATGATAATAATAAATAGATAAATAGGTTAATTTAAATTTTATTATGTAGATTTTAGTGTTTTATCATATTATTTAATAAATATTCTTTTACATAAATAAATAAATACTGAAACTCTTTACACATTTAATAATAATATAGATAAAAACTCTTTTTATATCAATTAATAAATATTTTTTTATAAGTGGGTCGGAATGGGGTGAAGGAAGGCTCGTTCGTCCAATTATGATATTCGATTTTCAAAGTAAAAGACTAAGAAAGGTTAGCCAAAAGACCGACCCAAAAAAATTTAGTACTACACTTGATCTTAGACAAAAGGGTGAGAAGGTGTGATTATTTTTTCTTTAGCTCTGTAATTTTATAAGAAGTTTTCATGTAATCGTTTTTATTTAAAATCAATGTGGGAGTTTGTAATTTTAATTAAACTCTTTTTATATTTTGTTAATTTAAATTAATTTTAATTTTATATTAGATAATTTTAAATTTTATAAAATTTATATCAATTAATAAATAAATACTGAAACACTTTACACATTTAATAATAGGATAGATATATATACATCTCACGTGGAATTCTATATTACTAAATTAATCATTAATTCTGAGTCTAACAAAAATGTCTATCCCTACGTGGCAAGATCTGAGCGGTGATAAAGTTATAGTTCTGGATCCATTTTTTTTTTTTTTTTGGTTTGTCATCTGGATCCATCTAAACTTCTGAAGCTTAGGTAGCAGAAAACAGCGGGGTTGCGACACCGTCTCAGAGTCATTGCTCTCTAATCATCATGGAGACCAATTAGTTCTGTTCTTCCAACGCTGATACTTCATCATTTCGGTGAGAACTAATGAATCTCTTCCTAATATTACACACACACATATATATACATGCAATGCGATAAACATGTGTTTTTGTAAGATTATATTGTCATAGTTGCATTATTGCATAAAAATCAATTTATGTTCTGTATTCAGTTTATATATTATTTTTATATTTGTATCGTGTATTGAGCAAGTTTAGGTTTTCAATTGTTTATGATAGCAATAAATTGTCTTTACTTGTTATAGGAATGTGCATAGTATCATAGTATGTGTTTGAACAAGTCAGGGTGGTTTTTGAGTTGGCTGAGGTGACAGTTTAGGAATTAGATGTCTCGGTTCTTAAATTTATATTCTACACCTGACCTGCAGGTGATTGTGTGCCCTTGCAACAATTAGATCAATTTAGAATAGATTGGGACACCTCATGTAAAGATAACAGAAAATAAGGAAAAAAAGAAAAAAGAAAAAAATTGATTGGGGGTATATGTCAGTACATGGGATGATGGGAACTAGTAGTACCACGGTTACATTTTGGCCTTTCAGAGTAACTTGGATGATTTGGTGATGATATAAAATTGTTAAATTGGTCAATTACCGATTCTTTTGAGCTAAATTACAAATGAAATTGGATAAAAGAATATTTGAACTTAGAACATGTTACACCTTCCAAAAAAAAAAACTTAGAACATGTTATGTATTCTAAGTTTCAGTGGACATTATGATAGTGTAATTGTGTTGTTAGTTATTCTTTCCAAAAATACTTTTTTCCTTGGATCAGAAATCATATTAGTTGCTATGTATCCATTTTTTTAACATCATATCTCTGCGCGCGAGTATTTAAGTTATTTTTTATGGAAAAATCAGAAGTTCTAGACCAAAAAAGAATCAGAAGTTCAAAACTTAATTAAGTCCATAAGTCCATGCTCAAAGAAGTATTTTCAAGCTTCCTCTTTCTTTAAAGAATGAACATCTGCAAAAAATTTATGTCTTAAGAGTTTGGACTAAGTCCATAAGTTCGGAGATTGTTCCATTATGGTCAAAAGCAATAACTGATGACAAATACACCATGCAAGATTGAGTGAATGAAAGATTGGCAATAGTTATATATTTGTAATTATGTACTTATTGAGACCAAATGGAGCAAGGCATATTGAGAAACTCACGAGCGGATGTTGATAATCTTTGATGATTAATCTCTCTTTTTAAAAAAAAAAATTATTTATTTATTATTATTATTTTTTCAAATTTAGATTTTTCTGTTATATTTTTATGTGAACATAAGAATCTATGCAGCTTGTTACAAGGAACCTTCTTTCCTACGAAGGGAAAAAAACAAAGAAAAATGTAAGATAGGGAGACTGGGCGAGGGGGTGCTGAGAGAGAGAGACCTCTTCCTTGGTGCCGTTCTCACATTCTAAATCATTGATGATTTCATCTCTTGCTATGATGGCTTTCTGTATTGTAATTCTGTTTCCTGTTCAAACTAATATGCAGACTATGCAGTGTATTCAACTTGTCTTGTGTGCAAATCACTCTCAATGTAATGGAGAGTTAGGAGATACTAATATGAAGGATAGAATTGTAGATGTAAAATTGAACATCTTCATAGATTAAATCAGCTTCCAGCCCAATTTCATTTTTATCACAAGAGGAATTTCATATTATTTATGCCCTGGTCTATTGTATGCATTCATGCATAATACCATGCATATATTCATATATATAAATATACACACATATATGTAACACACACACACATATATATATATGAGAGTGGGAGAGATACACTAATTCCGTCTTCTTGTATGGTTCCAAAGGCTCTATCTCTCTCTCAATTACGTTTATTCTTATGACAGCGTGAAGGCCATACAACAACGATGAGTTAGTCAACTGCTATTGCCTCCTTTACCACCACCAGGTTTCCTCGGCGGGACATGCGCAGGATTGGGTCCAGTTTCATAATCCAGCATATCGACCCCTGTAAGCTTTCTCGCCTTCATTTGGATGATCACCTATTCAAAAAGCAGTGTGTAATTAGTCAGGAAAAAATGTTTAAATCCTTTTTTTTTCATATGAAGCATACATGCTAGATGTTCTCATGGTCACTAACCACCCCATTAGAAAATAGCTGTCTATATTACTTTTTATCTTTAAACACTACATGATTCATATAGGTGATGTATGATACTGTTTTTTTGAGTAATATCGTGTGTCTGTATTTGCTTGGTAATAAAAGTTAGGTATCTAATTCTTGCATATGCCAGGACTATTAAGCAGCAGCAACTAAGGTTTCCCACTTTTTCTTATGTCCATATATAAGTCACTCTGGACCCCCAGTACTACAATGGTAGCCTCTGCAAACCTGCAAAACGTTTGTTTGGATACTGCTTCCACAAAGGCACACATAATGCAAAGTAGGAACCCATGTACATGCACCAAAAAAATAGACCGTTGCACAGTCAATGTTCATGCATGTCTGGAACTACAGCTTACCTTGCTATGTGGGTTAGGAAGCTTCAAACTCCCTTTGTTGCCAATGGGTCTGCCTACAAGAGAAAATAGAAGACATTTGTTATGCATTTGAATGCTAGTAAGGAGGTTCGCATATGTACAGAACTTACTCACCTGATGATAAACTAACAAAGAGTAGGAGGATGAGAATGAAGGTCTTAACCTTAGGAGGCATACTGATTTTGTTGTTATTTTCAGTCTTACAATGTGAGTTGGTGTTTGTTGGGGATGGGAGTATGCTTTTATTCTCAATATGAGGGAATGTAGCCAAGAAGGCTTGTCATGATGCACTTTACTCAAAAGCTGTGTATAATGATTAAGAAATGCAATGTCTATTATCCACTAACTAAATGTCAACCACGTCATATTCTCTTGCAATAAAAGTCTTTTTCTCCTCTTGAAAGCTCTTGACAAATAATGGAGTCTACCTACATATGCTCTCTCAAATGTAACTTAAGAAACTTTAGGCTCCGAGACTTGATGTGGCATGTGTTAAGCCTGTCTTTGCACAAGTTGCAATTTCTAACTGAAAATCTGCTACCTTTTGATATGTGTTATTTGCTTCTAGCAGTAATATGTGCCATTATCACATGTTAGGTACCAATCTATTTACAATTTATTTTCTTCTAAACTACCCTGGATGCTCAAACACAATGTTGAATATCTTTTTGCTTCAGCAGAGCAGAAATCTAAATATTAAGACTGTTAATATAATCATCTTGAAAGCACTTGGAAGGTTAAATTAATGAACTACTAGTGGGAATACTTGAAAAAGAAACACAATTCTTTTGAACTCCACCAATCTAATAGAATTGAAATTATTAAATGAATTACCTTCCTCGTATATTTTCTTTTGTCAAGTACCTTCCTAATACTTGAATGTTGATAAACATTGGTTTATACCTTAGATCAACCAATCGAAATAAATACTATGTTTGCTAGCATAAGTTGATGTTGTTGGTAAAAGAAATATGCCTCCGAGTAGCACCTAAGCTGTTGGCAGGTGCCCACACACTCGCAAGAATTAGATTAAAATACGTGTTGTCTTCAAGTGCCTTCTCCACTTAATATAGTTGGAAGCAAATTTTTTTTTTTTTCCTTCCTTTTTTCCTTGTTGCATCTGATGTAAAGCTGTTTCCTTCAGTTTGTATTTCGGTATCTTTTTCACTATTTGTTTTTTCTTTCTTTTAAGAAGGCGCATATGTGTCTAACATGCACTAATGGATTCCTCAAGTTTATAAACATTGAAATTATCAAACTTCAAACTGTAGGCTGAATCCTTTTGTTGTTATGCAGCTTTTGCTTCTACATTTCAAGATTCCAAATAATGCATTTTTTTCTTTTTTCTTGTTCCATCTTGTTAAATTTGACTAATCTACTTACCAAATCAATTCAATCAAATTTACAACTGCAAATCAAAGGCATGCACCGTACAAATTCATTAAAGAACAAGACCAAGCAGACACTGCCACATGGTGTGCACTATTCGTTTTGCATGCTTACTTATCAGGTTCATTTCCCCTGTTCCTATTCTTTTATCTTTGCGATCTCATCGATTTGCTTGTTTTTGGGTCAAGGTGTTCTATGGTTTCATGCATAAGTCATGTCATATAGAAGATTTTCAAATAAGCAAATGAAAAATCCTCTATCACTTATTCAGAAAAAATTATCTATCATATTAATGGGCATATTACATTATATCTATACAATTTGCTTGACTTTCGGGGAAATAAACTAAAATTAAAAATCCTCTATCACTTTTTAAAATAGAATTAGGACCAATATGAATGGTGGTAGTCACATCAGTAAAATTATAGCACTTTCTGCACTGTTGACTTTCTAACTCTACTGTGTCTTTATAGGAAATCTTGATCCCATTACTTCATTATGTCTTACTGCCATCCTTGTGAACCATGGCTGCTAGTTCCTGATTTTCCATGCAAATAGTGTTATCCACGAACTCTTCCTACCAAATTGTGTCAGCGCTTGAATTCTGCTTCACTATTGAACCTGTCAAAGCATTTAATAGTACAAACTTTTTCTTGTAAGGGAAACAAAGATTAGACATCATGTTGCTTTCATATAATCAATTCATAAATTGGATCTTTATCTCACCTTTAAATTGTTATTATTAATTTCTTTAAAGTGCTTCCAAGTGTTTTGCTTGAATTTACAAATTTCTTCAAAAAAAAGATCTTTATGCTATATAGCTTGCAGTTCTAAAATGTTTGAACTTCTACACCCATTAAAGTAACCCCCGCCATCTTAAAACTTTGAACTATGATATCGTTGTTTAGTGGTTGGATGTCAAATTTACGTCACGTTGGTTTTGAGAAGTTCCAATTAAAACATGGTTCCGCATTTTTATCTACTCTTGGTGGATTCGTATACCTCATATCCTATGATGCTTCTATATTGCGATTGTTTAGCATAGTGGGGTCTAGGGACGATCAGATGTACGCAGCCCTCTTGTTTCGAATTTGTGACCTCCAGGTCATAATGGAGCAACTTTACCTTTGCGCCAAGGCCCGCCCTTAATATGGAAGCAAGTTTAAAGATGCCCCCTTTGAGAGATTGCCCTTTACATTATTCATGCCATATGTTCAGCCTTGTCTTTCCACATATTATCATCCATACGCACAAACAGAAATGACCTTATACACGTTATCTTTTAGCCAAAAAAATTACTTAGAACATAAAACAACTCAGTTAAAACATCGATGCTTTGTCCTTCCTAATTCTTAGCTAGTTCCATGGAATAAAAGAGTAGCAATTTTTAAAAAACAACCCAATGTATATTTTATTTTGCCTTTTCCAAATATATTATTTTGACAGTTCAGTAACATAATATATCGAAATGAAATTATATTAATACATTATCACTTTTTGCATCTATGCATGCATGTCAGTAAGTTATATTAATACATTATCACCTTTGACTCTAACTACTGGATGGATATAAATAGCCATCTATTATTACGGTAGCTGTATAAATCATTGCAAATTTGTTTATAGATGTGCAATATTTAATTGTCACCTTTGGACAAAAATTAGTAGGTGGACAATGATGAAGGTTTTGATCAATCACGGATGATTATTGACTTATTCTTGTTAGGACTAGTGTTTGCATTTGAGAGGGCAGAAAGTTGGCTATAGAGTTCAGGCTACCTTTGTTTTATTTATATTATTCTATTTTAATTGTTTATTTATTTATTTTTGAAGAGAGGGGTTAGTGGAGAGGAACGGAACCATTAGAAACTTGTAGAATGATGATGTAATTGCAAGGCCCTCTAGTAACCACCATAATGTCAATTGCACCAACTTATGACGCATAATTTACAAAAGTTTACCTTTCATCCACTGAAAGCAATTTTTTGGATGACCAAAATAACCCTTTCATGGTTCAAACTCCATTTTCAGCTGACTTGTAGGTTTTGCTTTACTTTCTGAAGACTCAACTTCATTTAGTTTCTAATCAACTCATTCTTGAATTTAATCCATAATGTCACATCCCCAACATGGCCACTAGCAAAATGTTTATGTTATGTTTCAACTAATCTTTAATTACTGCTCAGCCAATGCTGCCTTTCATCTTCAAACCCACTTTTAGTTTTTTAATCAATCAAAACAAAGGAGGAATAAATAAAGTTAGATGTTCTAGAGTCAAGATGGTTGAAAATGATTAAAATATACTGAATAAATCGTGACATGTATCGAAGATGGGCGTAAAGAGGTACTAGAATAAGTACAGACTGTACAGCAACCTAAAATCAATTATTCACAGGGGGGAGAGGTTGGGGATGATAATACTCGTAGAACTAACTCAGGTTAAGATAATAAAAAATATGTGATAATATGGGGTTTAACTGATGTGGTATGATGGTATCTCCAGGTAAACCATGACCACCACTAGGCTTTTTAGCTCAAATGATACATCGTCATCCTCCACATGGTAGGTTAGATATTCAAGTGCTCTTTGGGGCATAATGCATGTGTGGTTTACATCAAACATTTGTGACCTTCCAGATTACCTAACTGAAGTGGTTTAACTATTGAGAGAGAGACAAAATATGGGATAACCTACAATTCTACAAATGAATTGATGTGTAAAAGCATTTAGAAAGCTACACTAGGTCAATTTTATTTAGGAGCACTTGGGAACAAGGCACAAACTTTTCAATGGTAAAATTTCATCTAGTTTAGCACATAAGGCAATAGTACAATAATAGTGGACATGTTGGCAATGTTGTGATTGGATGATTTAAGTAATAACCCCTCCTGAACAATTCACTGCTGTCAGAAAACTAAATAAGAGAGGCATGACATCTTAAAATTAGCCTCCAAACATCGACCGGATATTGAGCCGTCTTCGTAATTATTTGGTGCCTCTTTCCCTTTGATGTCCTTTCTTTCTAACTTAAAGGTTGCTGCTATTACATTTGAAAACTTAGTTCTGCTGCAAATCATAGACACCTTTCTTAGTGTAGAGAGTCTAAACTAGGACTAGTCTGAGCCAAGCTAATTGATCTTATAATCAGGGATGAGAAAGATTACTCTGCAGGATATGTGAAAATGATTAAAGACTGTATAAGTGTATTTAGTGATAGTCAAGTACTCGATTACTGCCCATGACGTGTGCTGTTTATTTTGCAAGCATACTGTATTGCCTCAATTTTTCTTCATTTACAGTGTGATTCTCCTTTTAGATTGATATTTGTCATATTGTATGGCTATAGGCAATACTCATCCCAAATAAAGGGTCTACAACAAAGGGAAATGAACACATCCACTCATATTGGTTTGTTGGCAGTCATATCACAAAAAAGTCGCACCTCAAAGTGAAATGATCAGCATGGGAAGTTGGCTGTTAATATTGTTGTTGTTTCTGTTTTCTATAAGGCATAAAACTTCTTTGATTTTACTCTCTTTTCAAGATATAATAATCTGGTAAACAATTTGCATCTTTGTAATCTACACATACTAAGCTAGCCCTGTTCTGGTCTCCTGGCAAATTTCAGAAAATATCTCCCAGACCCTTTGTTGGATTTACTTATGCAATTGCTCTCTTCTATTCAAACTAACCAACTCTGCATCTCCCTCAATCTCGACTGCAGGTACTCGTAAGCGCGTACTGGTATAGACTGTCGGTCTCATTGATCGTCAGTGTCTGTGATGGACATATCCTGTTATGGCAAAAAGCAAATGCGTCGGCAGATTTAAAATCCATGGATTGGCACTTGTTAGGAATGAGTCTTTTCCATCAAGTCAATTTCAGTGATCCAAAGTATTTTGTCCTCTTGTCATGGTATTTGTTCTACAGAGGCGTTGACAGCCATCATATATAGATTTTAACACTACCGAAATGTATGGCTACCATTCATGTTTGAATTTTTAAACCAGGCAGACAAGCAATATTCGTTACTTGAAATCATTATATACAGGAAATGTGGATGACTATGCTTTTTCCCATTGTGTGTGGTTGGAATACAAAGAAACACTGAGCTTATCGGGAATTATATTATAGAGCGACAGGAAAGTTGCTGTTCCATTATGTATTAGTGGAAAGAATCCGAGAAAGGCCTATAAGCTTCAAATTTGAAGCCATCGCTGCGACAATTGGGGCCACATGCTAGGTCTTGTCTCTGGAAGAGTATATGCCTAGTGTGCTTTATTAGTTTATCTTTTTCTTTTCTTTGTTTTTTCTTTTACCATTGCTAAAAACTTGCACACTTTTTTTTGTCCCTAACTGCACTATTCCCTTCTCAAATTGATAACAAAAAAATATAAGAATAAAAAATTATAAGGTCTGTTTTGTTTGACACTTAGAAAGCACTAAACACTACTCTAAAAACATACTTTTTTAAAAATTGAATTTTTAAAAAACAGTTAACAAAAACTATCAACCTAAGAATATTTTTACTAAGGAGTCGTATACCGACACTCCTCGAATACATGTCCTAAATAAAAATTAATTTTATTATTTCGAATACTTCACCGACACTTTTCGGACACTTCTCGAACATCTTTAACACAAGTCTACTCAATAATTTTAAAAATAATGTGAATACCAGCATGACAAAGTAGTTAAATAATGGAATATATAATATAAAAATGATTATAATAATGACATAATTTTATTTTCTAATTCACAGAGCAACTCTTAATATAAAAATTATAAATGAATTAAAGTTTTATTAGACTATTACTGAATAGATATATAATAAAAAAAATTTATATTAGTATCTAGTCGTGTCCACGACATACCCATGTCAAACTTTTTTAAAATTTGACATGTCGACATATCAGTGTCTGTGCTACTTAACTATCAACCAAGTAGATTTTTAATTTTTGTACAATATTTTACTTTTCAGTTCTCAGAAAATAAAAAATTGTTGTTTAGAAAATTAAAACCCATATTATTTTGACAACGAAGTCCTTTGGAGTAATGGCTAATAGAGTACGGCCATAACCCAGCATGGACAAGCCCCCCAGAACGTGCTCAAATAACTACCCAGCCTGAAGCTGGGTACCCATGCATTGTGGAGAATCATCACTGTATTTGAATCTGTAACAGGTCCCATTTTCTTTCAGATAGTCAACAATTTGAAATGTGCAGTATGGTCTTGAGTCAACCGTTGTCGTGTGACATGATGACATCCATTCATTGAGAGTGAAGAATCTACATTAGTTGCATTCCAAAAAAATAAAAGAGAAGAAAAATCGATTTCATTGTCAAGTTTAGAGTATTAAGCTGATATAAAGCCATCCATTTCCATAAAATCAGGAAGGCAGTGTTCCATCTATGATACATTAAAATACTTCTTCCAGTATAAAAATAAGAAACTAGATCAAATCATTAAAAAATGATGCATTGCTACACAATTCACAACAATAAATTAGAAGTCGTCATGCATTTGGTATACACATCAAATGGCGGCGGGTGAATATATAAATTAGCAGCTATGGTGCAAATGAGATGAAGCTCTTTCCTAATATGCAAACACTGCTCCAACATTAACAGCAGCTGATGTAGAAGACAGGCATATATCACCTCCTCCAAAATCTAGCTTGGCCCGAAAAATATTGGCATCCGACATTTGCTTCACAAAACGAGTAAAACTGACCCAATTATGATATTCAAACAAATTTTTGTCCATTCTATTGAAGTTGAATGAAAAGGATGGTGTTCCTAAACCATCTGAGTAAAATTTTGACATCTTTAGCACCTGTTGGAATGATCCATCATCCAAACTAGCTGCAGAATTTTCACCTTCCAGGGGTATATCACAAATCCTTGCGGCCAATAGAAGTTGTTTAAGAAAACCTTCTGGGCTACTGACTGGGTTCATCTGCTGCTCTTCTGCATCTTTCATTTCAAAACATGTACAACACAAGGTAAACCCATACCTGCCAAACATGCGGGCAATTGGTAAGTATCCATCTCTAATTAAGGTATTGTAATAACCAGCTGTTAACTCAGACGGATGAGACTGTGTTCTGTAATGCCAGTGGATCCCAGCCACTTTTCCTGATGTGCCAACTTCAATACCCCGAAAAATGGTCTCTGCTTCCCTGCATATCCTCTCCCCATGCAGAAGCAGCATCCCTGAGTACCACTCAAGAAAAAAATCCCCATACGGTGTATTCCAAGAGCCATCACTTCTGAAAAATTCAGTATTTTCGGGATTGTGCATCAAGTTGCTAGCACCAATAGGACCCCCATTTGCCCACTCAGGCATCCCTCTCTTTCGGGCACAAGCATTTAAAGATGCAAGCATATACTGCAAGTAGAAAAAACAAAAAGAATCAAATCATTATAGAGATAGGCATAAACTAAAATGTCCTAGAAGAAACATTGAGCAGGTAAGAGTTGAAATGATCTGAAACTGACACAGGTACCTATAGAAGTTCAAATACAAGCCTGTAGATAACTGGGCCTTTCTGCATACCTTATCATAGCATTGAAACTCTCCAAGTTCACGAGAGCGCCAAGACCAAGTTAGCTTCTGAGAAGGACACGAAGGGTACCTCAATTCACCAGCAGGACCCATGCCAACTTGAATCCCCTGCAAATGGAACGCAAGACACCATGGACACCATGAACACTAGAACTCCATAGCAATCGATCCACATATAGACCAAAAATATATATAGTAACAATCATCTTACAGTTATAATGCCACCAAAAAATGGTCTAAAAGTGTCTCTGAAATTCCTCATAAAATCTGCATATGCTTGGATTGGTGATCGTCCATGCAGAACAGGAAGAATGTCACATCCTAAGGAAATGTACTCCATATTTCTTCTTCCAAACCTGTCAGAATATGCTAAATCTGGATCTTTATCCATTTCTTCAAGCACCCATTGAGGAAGAGGAATCCTTCAACACAGAATAGGAGAAATTCTGAACCACTAAACACATGAAAGAAAAGTTTCGAACATGAAAACGTTTATTGAATGCATAAAGAGTTCCAAGATTTAATCAAAGTCTATCTTATTTCAGACAAAACACAATACAAGTATGGCTTACAATGAATCTCGAACATCAACAAATTTCATTTATATCACCTTGCAAATTCTTCAAAGTTGGTGCTAGGATATAATAGATCAATTTGACCCTTAAAATTCTATAAACGAAGCTAAAGTGCATGCGCATGTGGTCCTGTAGTCTTTCCCAAACTACAATGTTGTTGTTATTATTTGTCCCTTTTTTCCTTCATATTCTTCATGTCCATAATATATTCCTTCTATATACATATCGATTTTATTGATATGTACAAACCCCAAGGGGTTGGCTCAAGTGGGTAAGTCACTTGGCCCTGGTGTCTCGTGATTCATGAAGCATCAGGTCTAAGGTTCGACTCCTCTTGAGTGCAAACAATTCCTTGAGGGGGGTGTGTGAGTATCAATTAGGGAATAAATAAATAAAAATAAAAGATTTTACTAATATGTAGAAACACATACTACAGATATACATATTGTTGCAGCTTTGCACCTACTTTTCTATAAATGCATACACACACACACACACACACACACACACATAAATGGACACTCGATAGTTGCACACACTTCATGCATGAGATGGTCCTCGAGTAAATTAAGAATCTTGTATTTCATAAAATTTGGGAGCAAGATATGCTGAAGTGTGGATGATTATCACAAGAGATTCCCAACATATCAAAAGATTCCAAGAGCCAAAGATCTATGAATTAGCCCATGCTTGGCCAGCCAAGCAGACAAACGATCCTTAATAATGCAATTTAGATATCACTTCAAAGAAATTTTCCACTTAAAATAAAGTAAAATTTTAAGTGATGGAACTGAAGACTTAAAAATTCAAGCAAATATCAAAGTTCTTGATTTACAATTAGCACTTAATAAATACTTAGGTGAGGCTCCTTCCACTATTTGACTAACATGTAAATCTTCATAAAAGCTTGATTTTTGAAATTGTATATATGCCATATCCTCCAAATATTTTGCACCTACTTGGGTTGGTTCCTCGGTCGACAAAAACAACGCCTCAACAATGGACCTCATAAATGAGAAAAACAAGGTTAATTCATACCTAGCCAATAGCAGGAACTCTCTCCCATATAGATTCCAACAACACCGTTTCTCTATGATTGACTATGCACAATCTCACATGAGTCCTATACTATAAGATTTCCATTCCATAATATGCTCCCTAAAAATCTAAACTCTACCATCTTGCTATGCCATCAAAAATTGTCTCAGCACAAGCACCCCAATGTATCCTATGCTTGCTTGGCCCAAAAGCAATACCCAGATAGCTTGAACTTGGTGCATGGTCACCACGTGAACTGAGGATTACACGATCCATATACGATCCTAAGGACTTGCAAATTCACCAAGGTGTATATTCTATGTGGTTTATATCTCAATGCATCTCGGACGGGGAAAAAAGTGATGTCAGTGTCCTCTTTGACATATGATCTTCATTTGTCTTCTTTGACATCCAATCATCATGTGTCATCCTTGACATCCAATCATCATGTGTCATCCTTGACACGCTTCACAACCTTCACTTCACCTATAATATTCTCCTATGGTTTTGCAACATCTTCCTTTGATCACGTCATCCCAACACATAAAGCTTCTATCACCAAATGTAATTTATACCCCTAATCCTATAAATAAAGTGTGACCCTACCCTATACACACTGACACGCGGCTAAGGAGTGTCCTGGAGTTTGAATTCTTTTTTATTTTTATTATTATTTTTTTCAGTTGGACTCAATTCTAACACAATTGGAATATGTCGAATTACAAATTATGAGGGTTCTAGCCCCATTTAGGGCAAAAAAATGTGTGAGTTGCTTATGTACATATTTATGATTTATATGATATAGAGCATATCAATTATTAAAAGCACGCTTTTGTAAAGTCTAAAGCCTACTAAAAAGCACAAGTCCGAGGGCTTTATTTTGGCATGACTAAAAGGTCCGTGTCTGTAGTAAGTAGAGGTGCTCTTGTTGAGCCTTAACAAATCCAAGGCATTTTTAAGGTCCACGTAAGTAGTAGGCAGAGGCACTCTTGTTGAATCTTAATGAACCTAGGGCTTTTTAAAGTCCAGACGCGCCCTGAACAATTCTATCATTTCTTTATTCTAATTAATGTCCATGTCTATATAAGTAATAGCTAAATTAGACATTTAAAAACTTTTGGATTTTCTTCCATAAAAGTAGTTGGAGTTATTCAAAAGGTGGGTTTTTAGAAAAAGAGGGAGAATTTCTAAACCGTGTGATTCTATAAAAAAATTGCAATAAAAAAGAATATAAAATTGAAAGATAGATTTTAGTAGCAGGAATTAGTTTGCTGGTTTTCAGTGCATGTACATTCCACCCCCCCTCCCCCCCCCCCCCCCCCCCCAAAAAAAAAAAGTCCTGCTTTGCCGCTAAATGCTGCACAAACAACTTCTGTCAGTGATCCATAATCCCAAGTCTAGAAGGAAGCCAGTAAGCATGATTTCAAATAAGTGAAAGAAGTATTATTCTCATGCTGCTAAAATCCAGTGGGAGGATTTACAATCACCACCTCCCGGATACTAAACCAAATCTACATGTCAAGAGAGCCACATAAAGCAACAACATCATCATTAACTATAGAATTGTCTGATTGAGAAGGAATGTGCATCTACTTATACCATGCACGTTATTCATTAAGATCAATCAATCTACACATCCAGCAAACAGAGGCAAAACAATCACCCTCACCAATTGAAGTAAACCGCGACCACATTGACCCCCTAAACGATAATAGTTTAAAGTAATCAAAGAAAGAGAAACATAAGAGAATTCAATAAAACAAACCAGAAAGGATCGCCAGGCCCTGTACCACACTGATGAAACGCCATGACCGCTCGAACCTTCAATCCACACCTTCGTGCCAACGACACAATCTCCACATACCCCTGCCAATCGTAAACCCTAGGCGCGTCCCTCTCCACAAGCCCCCACCAAACCTCCATCACCACGCCTTCCACGCCGGCCGCCACGAGCGCCCGAAACGACTGCGCCATCGCCTTCCGCCTCCGCATCTGCCCCGAAGGGTTGACGGCGTCCGCCGGCAGCGTGACGAACACCGGCGATCCCTTCCGGTGACTCTGGGCGGACACTCCGTGCTGAAGCTCGTATTGGAGATCGCCATTATCCGGGGACACGAAGCCATTCGACGGCGTGGATGAATTGAAACGAGAGGTGATCGCGAGGCGCCGTGTGGGCAGGCGAGTCCGGTGAGATCGGATCGTGAGGAAGCGAACGAACCGAGTTGACTCGGTTCGAGTACAGCAGAAGGGGGGTGAGAAGCTCGGAGCAGAGGATGATGCAATCGCCATTAGAGAATGGATGATTCAGAGCTAGGGTTTCAAAATTTTCATTCGTTCCAGGGGGTTGAGAGAGAGAGTTATGGACGAAGGGTGGTGATGATTTCGAGCGATTTATGAAATGAGTTAGCGAAACGAAGGTTGTACTCAACGAGGACCAGGTGAGTGAGACTGGCAATTCATGTTTCATCTGGAAAATGAATGTACAGTTATGTTTGGGCCTCCCAAATTGAGGAGGGAGTTTTTGGACCCCAGTAATGAGCGGTCTCGATTGGCTGATGGGATGTGGTTAACAAATTATTCCTGTTTTTTCTTTTAAACGTGATTACAAAGCTCATAAATCCCCCTTTTTTCTGTTTTAAACGTGGATTACAGTGTGATATGTTTTTTTATGAAAAATAAATAAATTAAATTAAGAAAAAAGTACTACTTTATTTAGAAAATGATATTTAATTCAATGGGTTGACTTAAATTATTAACAAAAGGGCTGGATATCTTTACATATACTTTAAGCGAAACCTATATTTATCACTTAATATATTCTACAAAATATAAAAGGGGATAAAAACAGTATTTCATATTTAACTTATGTTTAGAGCAACATTGTTAGCATATTAACACACATTCAAGTTCAAACTACGTGTTAGAAAAACATTAATTATTACAACCAAAAATCAACTCATAATTCCTTATAAAATATTCGTATCACCTATTCAAATCAAGTACTCTCTAATTATATCATGCTTTGTGATGCATATTACTAAATTAAGTCACATAAAATGAGAGCACAAACATTTATTGAGAATAATTATGTAACTTAGGTAAGAAATAATAATAAAAATAAATAAATAAATAAAATAACCTTCTCCATTATCAAGCAAGAATCTCATTTATGGCCAATTACATCCCATTGTTTATTCCCTTCCAATTTTGCTGTTGTATGAAGTGATGGATGTATGTCTTTAAAAAATCAATCAACCATTTAACTAAGAATTGCATTTTTTGGACCAGCTAAGTCATTCAACCTTACAAGTCATGTCCTTTTTTTCTCTTTTCCTTTGACATTTATCCTTCTTCCTACCCCAAAATTCTCAAACACAATATTACATTTAAAAAGTATGGTGAAAACATTGCAAATAATAAGTGGAAACAACTAGGAGTCCTGATTTCAATGATACTTTCTCTCGACTTTGAAAATAAGTTATCCTTCTCACAAATTTAACATTTTATCGATGAAATTTTTTCAGAAATGTAATTAAAAGATAAATCAATTTTTTAACCTTCCAAGAGAACAATATAAATGATCTTTAAATTTTTCACCCCCAAATCCTCTAACCTACATCCAATTTTTTACCTTACAAATCATCAAGCCTACATCCAATTTTTTACCTTACAAATCATCAAGCCTACATCCAATTTTTACCACTTAGGCTATGCGTAGATCCATTAATGTTTAAACTACCATCATTATTGCCCAGTCGACTGCATTTAATAGTTGTACTATAAACTTAACACGCACACATGGCAAAAATAGTGGTGTCAATTTAAACCGTCATATCCTACCCCTTATTAGGACGGTTTGGGATTATCAAAACCAGTTACTAGTATTTAGTTTAAAATCTGCAAAGCCCTGAACTCGCTCCGATTAATAGTAAATATATAAATATATATTATTTTATTACCTATAAATTTTATTTTTACTTTATTTCTTATTATAATTTTCAAATTTAACTATATTTTTATTATTATGATTGTTAAATATTTGACTATCTAAAAAAAAATTACAAACTTAATGTAAAATTTGTTCAAGTTTGAATTGTTTTTCTTAAAAAAATATGTATATTGGGGCACCCCAAATCCACCCCAACTTTCGATGTGAGGCACCCTGAATGAGGTTTGGAAAAATATTTTCATTGATGGGACGGGTTTGGGAGGGGGGTGCCCCATCCCGAACTCGCCTCGTTGACATTCCTATGTGAAAATAATTTGTATTAGACCTGTCATATGTAAAAATTTGTTAGATGCCTCCCTAAAATTATCTATTTGTAAAAAGAACATTTAATTCTTTATTTCTTATTATTCTTCTTCATTTATATATATATATAATTTTTGTTATCTTTTTTTTAAAAAAAAAAAAAATGCATTATCTTCCTTCAATTATAATCTAATTTTTTACCTTTTAAAATTATCTCATATTTTTTCTTTTTATTTGCTTCTTCTTCTTCCTTTTTGTTTTCTTTTCTTGTAAAATTTTATTTTCTTGCATGATTTATGTGCAATAACTTTATATTCCCTCTTCTTATTCAATTTTTACATGTATTCTTTCAAATTATTATTAGAATTTTATACATTTTCATTAGAATGAAAAATAGTAAAAAGATAAACAAATCCCAAAAACACATTATTGCACGGTCAATACACTATTATATTTTGACTTGTTGTCTCGTTAACTATTAGTAGTTGTTTATTTTAAATTTTTATTTTTTGGGCCTTGCTTATGCCCTCATAAACCAAATACTTGGCTTTACCCTTGAGTGAAAGAAAATAATTGGGCCCTTGGATACTTAGAGGGATCATGACCTATAATCCTAAGGACCATGTAAGGTAATGACCAATCAGGTCGAGGACCATTGGGTATTACCTATAAAGTTTTGACACTATAAATACATGAACACAAGCATTTGGGGCAAATTAAACTCACACATTTAACTCCCATAGCAATAAGAATTTGTCATTCCTACCTTAAGCATGAATCCAACCACAACTAAACTACTCCGCGTATACATGATAAGCATTCTACATGCCACGTGTACGTAATAGATTTACAACATCTTTTGAAACTAGTTTGTTGTATTCACTAAAAGACCTCATTGATACACAAACAAATTTTAGCGCTACGTTAGGTCACTACTCTAAGATATTCAAAAGCTTTGAATGGTTATCACCAACGAGCAAATCAAACCTTGGTAGCGTGTCAGGTCATGTAAAAGCCTCAAATGGTTATCACCAATGAGCAATCAAAACCTAGCAGCGTGCTGAGTCATTTAAAAGCCTCGAATGGTTATCACTAAAGAGCAATCAAACCATAGCAACGCGCTGGGTCATTCAAAAGCCTTGAATGGTTATCACCAACGAGCAAATTAAACCCCGATAGCACGCATGGTTATTCAGAAGCCTCAAATGGTTATCACCAACGAGTAAATCAAACCTTAGCAGCGCGTTGGGTCATTTAGAAGCCTCAAATGGTTATCACCAACGAGCAAATTAAACCCTAATAGCGCGTTGGGTCGTTCAGAAGCCTCGAATGGTTATCACCATAAAGCAATTAAGCCCTCATGCTATGACATTCAAAAGAGGCTTTGAATAACGCATTTTTTTAAAGCAACTGAACAACCATACCTTTCTACACTACCAGGAACTTCAAGACTTTTGGGTAAATCAAAAGACAAAATCATGGGCAAACATTTTGAGATACTGGTAGGGTGTTCTCGAGTATGGGGAGCTTCTCCCCATAAAGATCTATAAAAGGATTTGGTTTAGTGGATGAGAAACTAGATCATGCTTGGTAAACAAGCCTGGTTAGTGAAACGGTGGATATGCTATGAAAAATAAATTTCGCATCACATTTAATGCCCTGACATAGCCACGATCAACTTGGCTATTACCAGGTGTAAATTAATTATGACACAAATGCACTTAATGCAATAAATAGAGTTAACCAGTAAGTTTCAGGACTTGATCAGAGAAAATGACCTCTTAGATTCTTAGAGTCATCGTGACTACTTCATTAGCCATGACTTATAATGATGTGACCTTTGGTTAAAATATCTAATGTGTATTAAGGATATAAATAGGAGCCTCTACACAGGCATTAAAGGGCAGAAAACAGATCAAATAAAAAGGACATTAAGTTGATCTTGATAATGCATCCTCTATCTCCACCAACGTACCTACTAACCAATCTACTTTCTCTTCCATCTCCAACCTTTTCTGAATCTTTCACATTTGTGTTTAAAGATATAACCATTTGTTTACAATTAATTTGTCTTAAGAAAAGACTCTCCTGCATAAACTAAACAAACTTATCATGGCGTAGCAGAATATCTAATAATATGATGGTTACGTTAGTTAAATATTAGGTACATAGGGTACCTATTTCGTTCGTTTGAGCGTACTCTAACTCTAGTGTTTTGTTGTCATAAAATATTTACGAAGAAAAAAAATATATTAAAATATAACAAAAATAATTTATTCATTAATTTTTGGTAAGTTATTTTACACGCTTCACCCGACGAGCTCGACCTCAACCTAGACCTATGTCAAACACCGAAAATATATATATATATGTGTGTGTGCGTGTATTTTATCCGAAAAATGAAAGCATTATTCGAAAAATACACGAAAAATGAAAGCATTCTTCGAAAATAATATTCTATAATATACAATATTGACTAACAGTGCACATTGGTTCAGTTGTAGGCTTTGTGGCCATATAAACCAATCCCGATAGGGGCGCAAATCCTCTAGAGTCTGTTTTTCCTGCAGTCCCCTACAGTTTATAGTGTTGAGGCCTTACTTTGGCCACGTATTTTATTTTAACAATTAAAATTGCTTTCTCCGGGTTTACATGGTTGAGGCCTTGCTTTGGCACGTATTCCATTTTAACAATTAAAATCGCTTTCTCCGTTATCTCCGTTAACGGAACTTTTTATTAAAAAAAAAAAAAAAGGAAAAAGAAATAACAAGAGTCAAAACATTAGTGACATTAGTTAATGAACACTGTGTCAATACTTAGTTTTAATGGTGAAGGTGATTAGTGTGCCTATTCATTAAACTTCATAATGTTTTTTTTATCATAAATATCAACTAATAACCTCTAGAATGTGTAATTGCTGCATATATTTAATACAAAAAATTTTGGGTAAGACATTGGTTACTAATGAGGCCAACTCAGTTCAAACAATCAATTATGCAAGATTTTACATTCACTATAATGCTTATTGAAGATTATAGAAGAAAGCCCTACAATTATCCAAGATTTTAGAAACACTAGAATGCCTAACCAATGTCAATTTCAACTAAAAAAGCCCATAATTTAGACTAATAGATAACAAATGAAAGAATTAAAAATTCTTAAATTTATTTGTGCCATTAGTTATTTAGCACTGTGTCAATACCTAAATTTGATGGTGAAGGTGATCAGTGTGCTTATTTATTAAATTTCACAATGTTTTTTCTATTATAAATATCAAATAATAACCTCTGAAATGTGTAATTGCCGAGTACATTTAATACCAAAATTTTTGGATAACACATTGGTATTTAATGAAGCCAACTCAGTTTAAAAAAAAAAATTATACAAGATTTTACATTCACTACAATGCTTATTGAAGATTATAGAAGAAAACCCTACAATTATCCAAGATTTCAGATAAACTAGAATGCCTAACCAATGTCAATTTCAAATAAAAAATATCATAATTTAGACTAACAGATGACAAATGAAAGAATAAAAAATTAATAAATTTATGTGTGACATTAGTTATTTAGCACTGTGTCAATACCTAATTTAGATGGTGAAGGTGATCAGTGTGCCTATTTATTAAACTTCACAATGTTTTTTCTCTCATAAATATCAAATAATAACCTTTGGAATGTGTAATTGCCGTATACATTTAATACCAAAATTTTTGGATAACACATTGGTACCTAATGAAGCCAACTCAGTTCAAACAATCAATTATGTAAGATTTTACATTCACTACAATGCTTATTGAAGATTATAGAAGAAAACCCTACAATTATCCAAGATTTCAGATACCCTACAATGCATAACCAATGTTAATTTAAACTAAAAAATATCATAATTTAGACTAACAGATGACAAATGAAATAATTAAAAATTCATAAATTTATGTGTGACATTAGTTAATGAACACTGTGTCAATACTTAGTTTTGATAGTGAAGTTCACTACAATGCTTATTGAAGATTATAAAAGAAAATCTTACAATTATCAAATATTTTAGATACCCTATAATGCATAACCAATGTCAATTTCAACTAAAAAAGATCATAATTTAGACTAATAGATGACAAATGAAAAAATAAAAAATTCATAAATTTATGTGTGACATTAGTTATTGAGCACTGTGTCAATACCTAATTTGGATGGTGAAGGTGATCAGTGTGCCTATTTATTAAACTTCACAATGTTTTTCACTCATAAATATCAAATAATAACCTCTAGAATGTGTAATTGCCGCATATATTTAATACCAAAATAGGCACACTGTCAAATGAAAGAATTAATACCAAAATAGGCACACTGACAAATGAAAGAATTAAAAATTCATAAATTTATGTGTAACATTAGTTATTCAACACCGTGTCAATACCTAGTTTTGATGGTGAAGGTGATCCGTGTGCCTATTTGTTAAACTTTACATTGTTTTTTCTCTCATAAATATTAAATAATAACATCTGGAATGTGTAATTGCCGCATACATTTAATACCAAAATTTTTGAATAACGCATTACACATTTAAGAGCTATTATTTGATATTTATGATAGAAAAAACATTGTGAAATTTAATAAATAAGCACACTGATCACCTTCACCATCGAAATTAGGTATTGACATAGTGCTGAATAACTAATGGCACAAATAAATTTAAGAATTTTTAACTCTTTCACTTGTTATCTATTAGTCTAAATTATGATCTTTTTTAGTTGGAATTGACATTGGTTAGACATTATAGTGTTTCTGAAATATTGGATAATTGTAGAGTTTTCTTCTATAATCTTTAATAAGTATTATAGTGAATGTAAAATCTTGCATAATTGATTGTTTGAACTGAGTTGGCCTCATTAGGAACCAATGTCTTACCCAAAAATTTTTGTATTAAATGTATGCGGCAATTACATATTCCAGAAGTTATTATTTGATATTTATAAGAGAAAAAACATTGTGAAGTTTAATAAATAGGCACACTGATCACCTTCACCATTAAAACTAAGTATTGACACAGTGCTCATTAACTAATGTCACTAATGTGTTGACTCTTGTTATTTCTTTTTTATTTTTTTAATAAAAAGTTCCCTTAACGGAGAAAACAATTTTAATTGTTAAAATGGAATACGTAGCCAAAGCAAGGCCTCAACAATGTAAACCCGGATAAAGCGATTTTAATTGTTAAAATGAAATACGTGGCTAAAGCAAGGCTTTAACAATATAAATTGCAGGGGACGGCAGGAAAAACAAATTCCAGAGGATTTGCGCTCATCCCGATAGAGCCATACAATTTGATTCTTTTATGAAATTCACAGTAAATTCATAAAAATCATTCCTATTTAACTAAAAATGGAGTTTGTTGAAATATTTATATATATTAGATTAATCTTAGAAGACACTCTTTAAACATATATAGTCAAAATAACCTATTAAAAAAATAAGATATAATTGAAAAAGAAATGTAACATTTTATATTTTATAATGCACGAGATCTAATTTTTTTTTTTTTGTTACATTCGGTTTCTTTAAATAATAGTTATCGAATTTAACTTTTTCCAAAAGATAAAAAATAAAAATAAAAATCAAATCAATTTTTTTATTTTCACAAATAAAATGAACTACTGCTATCGGGATTAAATGTAATTTATCTCAACCGTAGGATAAAAAAAAAGTTATCGATTCGATGATTGAGAAATTGACAACGCTACACAACACGTCGTCGTACGCAGTAACAGACCACAGAATTTCCCAAGCAAATTTGAGAGAGTGAGAAAGAGGAGGCTGCAGTTTTTTTCTCCCGTCCCATTGTTGTACTGTCGGGGGCTGGGGTTTTACTAGTTCTTTCTATCCCTCTCGTTCTCAATCTTCGCCAATACCATCTGTGACTAAATTTTGGATGCTAAGATGACAGAGGTGGCCAGTAATGTCGTACACGAAGTATTAGGTCGAAGAGCTCAAGACGTGGATCAACCAATCATAGACTACATCATCAATGTCCTCGCCGACGAAGACTTCGATTTCGGCGACGAAGGCGAAGGAGCTTTCGATGCCATCGGTGAGCTGCTCGTCGATTCCGGTTGCGTTAGCGACCATTCCGAGTGCCGTTCGGTACGAACCAATCCAATTCTTTACTTAATTATTGCTCTCATTCAAATGTATGATTTATTGCAACTTATGAAATTTGAATCAGTCAGTTATATCATGTCAGAATTTCAGTTGTCTGTTGTGATGAAATTTCAGAATCGATTACTTCGGTCCAGGTAGAGGAAATTTTTTGAGAGAAAAAAAAAAAAAACTTACCTCGGTAGTGTAATGGTTGTGTTTTGCAAATAAAATTTTCTAGGGTATGAAATGACGGAAAAATTCACAAGATTCAACCGAGCAGACAAATTCAAATCCTTATAGAATTTTCACGTTATTAAATAAGAATTTAAGAATTTATTTCTGTTTATACGATATATATATATATATATATATATGATTTGTATTGATTAAAAAACTTGATGGTAGGTTTGTAGCACACTATCTGACCGATTTGGAAATCATGGGCTTGTTAAAGCTAAACCAACTGTGAGAAGCCTTGCAGCACCATTGAGAATGTTTGACGGAATGGATGAAGAAGTTCAAACAAAAAAGAAGCCCGAGGTAATTGATGGTCCTGTGCTAACTGAACGTGACCGACTGAAGCTTGAAAGGAGAAAGAGGAAGGATGAGCGCCAAAGAGAGGTGAACAGATAAAAAAAAATGATTTGCAATTATATGTTGTGAATGTCATTCTTGGAAGTTATTATATCAGTTGTATTTGATTAAATCACATCCATAACGGATGATTTTGTTGTGATTATGGGTACCTATCCATGCTCAGTTTTGATATAATTAGAACGAGTCAATTTTCATCACTGTTTACCTATGCTCAGTTTAGATGGTCATTAAGTTGTGATTGCAATTGAGTGGCGTCATCATTTACCGATGTTGTTCTTGAATCTTGACCAGGGGACTGGTTTTTTTGGTTCCCGCCTTCATTCTTATTCTTCACCATCATCTGATTATACAGGCACAATACCTAATGCACTTAGCAGAAATGGAAGCAACCAAAGCTGGAATGCCTGTAGTATGTGTGAATCATGACAATAGCGTTGATGGACCAAATATCAAGGATATTCACATGGAGAACTTCAATGTATCCGTTGGCGGTCGTGATCTCATAGTTGATGGTTCTGTGACCCTTTCTTTTGGAAGGCACTATGGTGAGCTTATTTTCATTTTCAACATAGCCATTGGCATGGAATTTACATAAAACAAATAATGGAAATGAATATTATATTATATAGGGAGTTTAAAAAATCCGAACTTGCTGTTAGTAACTGTATCATGGGTATCTTTTTTGCTCTCGCTTCCTACATTTCCAGGCTATGTTTGAAGTGCTTGGTTGATACGAAGAATACTTGTAAATTGAGTGCCATACGGTATTATAATTTAGCCAGCAGCTACTGTGGAAGAGTTGATCTTATCATACTACAAATTTGTCTAGTGATGCTTCCATTTTATAATATGTTTATTATGTGATGCTTCCATTATATAGTATGTTCATCTTGTGATGCTTTCATTTTATAATATGTATATTATTAGATAAAAATAGATGGTGTAAAAGAACTCTACTTTGGTTCAAATCTGACAATAATAATACCTTGAAGAATCAAACTCATTTGAAATGATGTTGTGCGGCTCACATTGTGTTTGAGGCATGCACGTCAAATAAGATCAGTGTTGCAGAATCAATATATAAGAATCAAAATGGCTTAGATTTATTGAAGGTAAAATTTTCTAGAAACAAGAATGCAGTATTATTATGTGTCCAGTGTGTTTGAGTTTAAATATTTTTTAAATTCAATTTACATCACGCATTCCACTTACCCAAGGAAAAAAATAAATTACATCATGCGTTCCTTCAGCAGATGTCGAAGTGATCTATATCTTTTGTTGCTTAGTGTTCTTTCTTTCATATGATATTATTTAAGTGCTGTTTATTTGTAACAATAGTAAATACTAAATAGCCTGTACTTTTAATTTATGATACTCCCGCGTTCTCTGTTTACAGGCCTTGTTGGCAGAAATGGTACAGGGAAAACGACTTTCCTCAGGCACATGGCTATGCATGCCATTGATGGCATTCCTAAGAATTGCCAGATATTACACGTGGAGCAGGAAGTGGTTGGTGATGATACATCAGCCTTGCAATGTGTTCTTAACACAGATGTTGAAAGAACTCATCTTTTTGATGAAGAAGCTCGTTTAATTGCATTACAGGTTGAATAGATAATCTGTCATATATTAGATATAGAAGAATCACGATAGTTTATTCCTCTATTTTCTCAATGGGTTATGTGCCCATCTGTTGTTTACACAAATCTTCTGATAACTTTATGATTTTCTCAAGAGAGAAATGGATGATGAGGATGCAACTGAAAAGAGCAATGGGCAGCTGAATGGGGAGACTGACAAAAATGCCATATCACAAAAGCTCGAACAGATATACAAAAGGCTCGAGTTCATTGATGCAGATTCTGCAGAGGCTCGCGCAGCTTCCATTCTTGCAGTCAGTTCTCAAACTTACATGTTGATGATTTTGAAATGACCGCAGGACTTGACCTTTAAATTAACATTTAAAATTTCTTGGTATCTCATGCATATTTGCAAAGTTGAGTTGAATTTAAGCTCTACCTGACATCAGCAAAAATGAACATTGAAAAACTAACGTATTGTACAATGGAAACAAGGGAAAAGAAATGATAGATGGTGAAAAGAAGGATGTTAGGTCAATAGGACTTATGTTGGCATATTTCGTGAATCAAAACAGAGTTCGAATTTTTGTATTCTTATTGCTAGCTTAGTTGGATTTTTAGCAGCTAGTTAGTGTCAAGGTAAATACCTATTGGTCGTAGTCAATGTTGGAAGTCAAACTTCAAACCAAGGGCAAATTGTAATTTATTGAAGCCAAGAGTATAAAGGTAATACGAAACCCTATATGCACTCACCAAATAAGGATTCACACACTCATGCATTAGGGTTTTTATATTTCATGTTTTGATTTACAAAATCCTAATTGAATTGCATAAAAATGTTTTTGGAGACTTGTTAATTTTGTAAGTATAGAAGACATGGCACTTTAATCAATAGGCTGATCGATATGGATCGATCGACATATGTCTCGATCAAACTTTCCAGAATAGGAGTTTCCTTTTGGAATTATAAACACTAAAACCCTGTTCTTTCTATAAAACATCAGCTAAAATGAACATTGAAAAACTCATGTATTGTACAATGGAAACAAGGGAAAAGAAATGATAGATGGTGAAAAGAAGGATGTTAGGTCAATAGGACTTATGTTGGCATATTTCGTGAATCAAAACAGAGTTCGAATTTTTGTATTCTTATTGCTAGCTTAGTTAGATTTTTAGCAGCTAGTTAGTGTCAAGGTAAATACCTATTGGTCATAGTCAACGTTGGAAGTCAAACTTCAAACCAAGGGCAAATTGTAATTTATTGAAGCCAAGAGTATAAAGGTAATATGAGACCCTATATGCACTCACCAAATAAGGATTCACGCACTCATGCATTAGGGTTTTTATATTTCATGTTTTGATTTACAAAATCCTAATTGAATTGCATAAAAATGTTTTTGGAGACTTGTTAATTTTGTAAGTATGGAAGACATGGCACTTTAATCAATAGGCTGATCAATATGGATCGATCGACATATGTCTCGATCAAACTTTCCAGAATAGGAGTTTCCTTTTGGAATTATAAGCACTAAAACCCTGTTCTTTCTATAAATTTGTTTTGTTTAAATTCCTCATTATCTCTGAAAACATAGGCGCACATATAGAGAAACACAAACTAGATAGATTTTGAGCATAAGAGTGCATTCATATTTTTATTTTTGCATTCATCAATCATATTGCATTAGATTGGTGAGTGTTTTTTTTTTGAGTGTTGAAACTATATTCTTATGGAGCTGAATTAAAGATCAACACCAAACTATCAATCATCCAAGATTGTGTGGATGGATTGGTCTGGAGATCAAACTACTATTGAAGTAGCGGAATGCGTTTGGAGCGCTGTCTGTTGACATAGCAGATTGTGTTCCTGGAGTCTCTGAGTTTGAGTTTGTGGATCAGTTGGTGTGAAGAGGTAACTTCTGAGGTCATTGAACAATTAACCTAGTGTAATAGCTTTTTCGTACTTTGGATTTTGAGTTTGTTGGACTAGGTCTTGTCATTTTTTTCTTTAGGATTTTCCGTGTAAAAGTCTTGGTATCATCTGTTGTGGTTGCTTTCATCTTAGGATTGCATGTATTGTGATCAAAGCATGATTGGTTAATTGGTTATTGTGATTTAGTGTTAGTTTCAATTTCTTTTATTCTGATAATTTATATAAAATTCAAAAAGTAGTTAAATCAACTATCGATACCTAGTTCAGCCCCGTCTAGGTTTAGATAATGCATACTCTGTATCAGAGCCTATGGTTCTGCCTGTTGACACTCAATGGACAAACAATTAAATTGCACTGTAGTTGGCTGGTTGGATTGTTGAGTCAGTACGTGTTCAAAACACAACAATTGACAATGTTTACATTGCCCACATTAGTTCCTAATCGAGTTAGCTTGATCAATTTTAGCTGTCATGAAACTTTCATCATGCTGTCTCATCCCATTTTCTTGAATCATGTCTTACTAATCTAGAAGCTTTTCAGGGTCTCAGTTTTTCTCCAGAAATGCAGAAGAAGGCAACAAAAACCTTTTCTGGAGGATGGCGAATGCGAATAGCTCTTGCTCGTGCACTATTTATTGAGCCAGATTTATTGCTACTTGATGAACCTACGGTGTGTTATGCTGGACTTGTCACCTTCAGGATATTCATTTGCCAAGTAGAATTAAGTACATACTTACACAGTCTCCCTTTTGTGGCAGAATCATCTTGATCTTCATGCTGTACTGTGGCTGGAAACTTACCTGATGAAATGGCCAAAAACATTTATCGTTGTCTCCCATGCTAGAGAATTCTTGAACCTTGTGATCCCTTTTACTCTCTTAAACATGATTATTTTAATATTATTGGTATAGGCGAAATTGTTTGTAATTTTTATAGCCTTATGTCCTAACATTCTTGGATGCATGTCTTGCCAATTTCTCTTTCAGGTAGTCACGGATGTTCTCCATCTGCATGGACAGAAACTGAATGCATACAAAGGAAATTATGATACATTTGAGAGGACACGAGAGGAACAGCTTAAGAACCAACAGAAAGCATTTGAGTCCAATGAACGTTCAAGGGCCCATATGCAGGTTTGCTTTTGTTGCTCTGTTACTATAATACAGGCTGAAGCTGCATGTTCCTTTCTTTTTCATTTTTCATTTTCCTTTTCCTTATATATATATATATATATATATATATGCATATTTGGTGGTGGCGCCTTTCTTTGCGTAGTTAGCTAATGTTTTTTTATTATTATATCTATAAGATGGCCTTGGAACTACAGTGACATCCGTTTCATGATTGCTGTTTTTCATAGGCACATGCCCAACTCACTCGCCCAGCACTATGTCCCAATCTTTATATATTATTATCTCATTTAGAACATTACCATTTAATGTTGTGCTTTACTTATTTAATTTTTCTTTTCATTTTGGTTTACAAGCTGCTTGCAAGTGCAAACTATCCAAGATGACAAGATATTTACTTGTATTCTGGACCATGTCCACTTTCATGTTAGAACAGACAGTCAGATTTCACCATCAGTGCAAAAACAAGTTGGTTAAGAGATAGCGGTCGCTAGGCCAGAAACACCACTCTTTGTATTAGCACAATGAGAGCCCAGCTGCTTTTATGATATCCAAATTGAACTTTATTAAAATTTTGTCCTCCGACAGTGCTGCGGGTGGCTTCCAATTTAGAGTGGTTCTTAGTTGGCTGATTGTTTATCAACATAGATATTGATATAAGTGTTCTGTTTTGGCAAAAATACAGGATGTCAGACCAGGTCCTCCAATCTAAATGCCTTTTTCTGAGGATGGGGTTGGTTGGGGTGATTGCATGAATTTACTAAATGGAACATACATGGTTAGGCATTTTTTAAATTCTATGTGCGTATGGATGAACCATAACTAGTAAACACACGAGGAAAGTAAGACCTTCACTACAGGTTCCTTTAAGTAGAAGCATACTGTGCCATGTTTATAGTAAAAGAATTTGTAGACTTCTGTATGTCTTAAGTGTCCAAATTGGCGTGTTGTATTGACCAGTATCTGACAGGTCAATAATCAACAGGGAGGGTTCCCCCAAATATACTAGAAGGAGGTCTCCCACATATCATAGATAATGAAAAAAAAATTAAACTGCTTCTTATATTCCTTTTTCTGGGATGTTCTCCAAATTCCGAATTTTTTTATGTTTGATATGCATGCCTTTTTCTATTTTGCAGTCTTTTATTGACAAGTTCCGTTACAACGCAAAGCGTGCATCACTTGTTCAGTCAAGAATCAAGGTACTCATTATCACTACTTTTACTGTTGCTTTATCATTTATTCAAACCTTCAGGGTCAGTTCTGATTTCTGATGTATTGCTCAATTGGGCCCATGCCACAAGGTTCAGAAAGTGCCAAATGTTATTTGACAAGTTTTTTATTTACTTGGATTAGTTTGAAACATATTGTTATATTGTGTATGAGTTTGTAACATTTAATAAAAGAATGACATGTTGGTCAACCATTTAGCTTCCTTCCTACACTTGACAGTTCTCTAGAATTAATTTATCTGCCCTCTTTTCTTTTTTCTTGAATTCATCAGGCATTGGACCGGCTGGGTCATGTGGATGAAGTTATTAATGACCCTGAGTATGCACTTTTACCTTTAATATATGTGAATGCATGTGCGTGTATATCTTTTGCATATCTCATTTTTTTTCAATTGGTTTATCCCATTCTGTATGCCTACCATCTAGATTAAGATATTGCATTGATTTTGCTTCGCAAAAGAACTTCTATTGATTTTTAGTTTTTTCGGGCCTTTGTGGTATGCAGCTACAAGTTTGACTTCCCTACTCCGGATGACAGACCAGGCCCACCTATAATAAGTTTCAGGTTTGGTTATTACAACTTACAAGTGATAGGTTGGGGTTTTAATGTTATTTCTGAGTGTCTCCATTAAAAGTTACTTAAATTAATGAAAAATTGGCGTCTGCTTAAATATGTCTCGGTTTTCCACAAGAACACTGTTATATATATATATATATATATATATATATATATATATTTTTTTTTTCTATAGTTGATTAACTTATTGTGTACTTAGATCAAATGGTAATGGGAATGGGTTGATGTTTTATAAATGTGGTTGCAGTGATGCATCTTTCGGATATCCTGGGGGGCCATTACTGTTTAAGAATTTGAATTTTGGCATAGATCTAGACAGCCGTGTAGCAAGTAAGTATGTTTTCTGAATTGGTAAAATTTTATGTTTCTTGATTTATACTGGATAGTGCTGGGTGCTAATTCTGGTGAATAATTATGTTTTTCACTTGTTTATCACACATTAATCTCATATGTGGTAGTGAATATCTTTCTATTTTCAAATAACTATATATGGACCTTTTCTAATCTAGAAACCATACATTAAAAGCCGAAGGAGGGAACCCCAAAGGGTTGGTTCAAGTGGGTAAGTCACTTGGCTCTGGTGCCTCATGAAGCATCAGGTCTTAGGTTCAACTCCTCTTGGGTGCAAACATTTTCTTGGAAAAGAGACAGAAAGAGAGAAGGGGGGGGGGGGGGGGGGGGGGGGGGGGGGCGCGGTGTGGGGGGGCAGGCATCAACTAGCAGCCACGGACCTAGCATAGCCCCAGTGGGATGTATTTTGTTAAAATTGAAGAAATTCCCCCACTCAATTTTTTAAATTACTCCATTTTATACTCTTGCCCCCACTGATTTTTTGGGATCTAAAAGATACTAAAGTAATCCGGCTCTCTCTCGTTAAGTAATTAGGTTCTTGTGACTATTATTTTATTTTAAAATAAATTATCTTAAAATTCGTTTTCTTCAATGCCCACCACCCCCCCCCAAAAAAAAAAAAAAAATTCCTGGGTCAGTCACTGTCAACTAGGGGAAAAAAAAAGCAGGAGGGTTGTTCATGGGGTGTGGCACCCACTTCTCTATTAGTCCAGTTCTTCTTCTCTATTTTTCATTATATCCCCACGTCTCTTACCCTACATTTCGTTGTAATTGGTGGTATGTCATGTAAATTTCTATTTTTGGTTGGTTTACCATACTTCTCTAATGTTACCACTCGTACCCTTCTCTCATATGTATCTGGATGGGTCAAGTAAACAATTTTGGGCTACTTTCTTGCAGATTCCCAGTTAAAATAAGAATAAAAATAGTAGCAAGACTATTTTTATGTGTGTCTAAATTATTCTAAATTGCAAGGTTAAACACACTTTTTGTAGAATTAGTTTTATGGGTGACTGATTTGTTGGTTCTCTTTTGATATATCAGTAGTAGAACACCATGTTTTATATTTAATGTCTAATGGAAATATGACTTCATCGCTGCTATTAGTCACTGCGGATCCAATATTGAGTTGCAGTTTGTTGTTCGATAGCTTTTCCAAATCATAGTGCTATGCAATATAGCTGTTTTTATACTAAAAAAATAGACCATTTTATCTCATTTGCACCATTATGGAAATGCTATAATTAATTTAGGTTTGTTATGACAGTTGCATTCATTTAAGAAAAGAAATTTATAATTATTAAAACATTCAATTGGATAGAAAGTGCATCTTCCCATTTGATTTCATCTTACTTTAATTGTTTAGTTGATGCAACCGATAACAATTAACATTGTTTGTTGGAAACATGTTACTATTTTTAAGCTGATACGTTGGAAACATTTTGTTGTATATTAAAATTATGAAAGCCTTGTTGGTCAAGTGGCATAATGATATACATAACAGACATTATTGGGTAGAGGTTGAGGTTTCAAAACGTGAGATAAAGTGTGTTAGGATCCTCGTAAGTGTTTTATTGTTTGACGAAATATAGGAGTACATAAATAAAAATAGTACAATTTAAGGCATTTATACAAATAGAGGCTAAAGATAGCATGAATTCTTCTATCATTTGACAAAAATAAATAAATAATTATATGCAAAGAAACCTAAATTGGTATGAAGGATGGTTTTCACCATAATAGTAGCTTTCTTTATGTACGATGAAAAGCTATCAAGTTCTCTACGTGTCATGCTATATATATTTTCTATTTCACATTAATATATCTTATGGCATAAAAAAAAAAAATATATGAACTTTGGTATTGGCTGCTTAAACCTCAGGTCCTCACTCAACAAGTTTAATTTGGAATTAGAAGTAGAGGTTAGAAGTATATATGCTATTAGAGTTAATTAATGGGGTCACAGGAGAAATGGTGGATGGTTGAGATAGAAGGTATTAACTTAAAAAAGGACGGAAGGGGGAGGGAAGGAAAATGAAAAGAAGATTTAACAGTGGCAAATTGAATACTAATATTTTTCTGGCAATTGTTTCTTCTGGTTCAAAGACCATCTCATATAAAATTTTCCACCAATTGGATATTTTATGGTATGGTAATGTAAAGCCTGCAGGTGGAGGGCCAACTAATATTTGTAAGTGCTTACATGTGATTTTTGTATTTTGTCAAGTAAGCGGGTCCACATATCATCTCAAGGGGTTGTCTTTTACATCTAATCTTTTGGAGAACATAGAAGCACATAGATTCAACATGAAGTTTTGCTTTTATTTCATATTAGGCATGACGCTTCATTTATCATCCACTTCATTTTCTGAATCTAGAAAGGCAATTTGTTTTGCAGTGGTTGGTCCTAACGGCATTGGAAAGTCAACTATACTCAAGCTAATTGCAGGGGAGCTTCAACCAAGCTCGGGGACTGTTTTCCGTTCAGCTAAGGTATATATTACTTGGCTTCACTTGATAAAATATCAGTTATCAGTTTAAATAGACCAACAATTTGGAAGAATAATACGTAGTTACTTGCGCTTGTGAGATTGGGATTACAATTTTGGGATGATTTTTTCTAAATCTGATGTGCACTGCAGGACTTCACCCAAACATATTTATAGTATTTACCCCAACTGTAGATTTACTCACCTATGCTTGCCCTTATAGAGACTGGGATGATTTTTTCTAAATCTTGATGTGCACTGCAGGACTTTACCCACACACATATATAGTATTTATTCGAACTCCAGATTTACTCACCCAGCAGAAATTTTTGGCCATACCTAGACAGCTCAAAGTTTCTCCAATTTTTTAATGACGTCCAATTTCTTTAATTTACTGTTAAAACTTCCCAGTTCTCATTTAAGTAAAAGAAAAAAAAAATTAAAATAGGTGAAACTTATAGTAATTTCCCAAAATCTTCTGTTTTGGCTAAATATTGTGATTGTATGCAAATTGTATTCTTTCAAATTGAACCTCATTTGTTTTTGGAAAAGCAGGCGGAGAACAGTAAGAAATGCAAAAATGTTTTATTTTTAATAATATGTATG